TAGGTAATGAGATCTCACTCATTGCCTTGAAACTAGAAGTGACAAATAAGTTGTCCCTTCGAGCTCTAGTCGATTGTGGGGCGTCCAACAATTTTGTGCGACGCCAATCGCTAGAAGATGGTCTCTTTAAATTCAGTGAATGTGACACACCTCCTACGAGGATGACGGTACGTCTTGCGACAGGCGCATCCGTAACCGTCATGAAGCGTATAGTGAAGATCCACTGTACGCTAGAAGATACCCAATATGACGATGACTTTATCGTATTGGATTTGGATGACAAATTTGATGTCATCCTTGGAATACCGTGGCTCAGAAGGTACGAACGACGGGTAAACTGGCAACATCGGACAGTAACGATGCCTGCCGCTTGTTCATCAGATGGCCATCTGATGAACGTTTTGGAGCGTCCACAAGCGTGTGGATGTACTACGAGTGAGTTCGATGGCCTCACTTGTGGTACGGTCGTTAGTACGACTGCACAAAACCTTAGTGTGACAAACGGTTACACTTCGGAGCAAAGTTCCGGCGGCTGTGAGGAAACACAGGCTGCGCCGAAGGTCCACCACTCGAACAAGTCGAGTGGACCGGGACAAAGATGTATCCCTAGCGGGGAACATCCAGAAGAGAAACAATCGATCGCTCAGGTTAAGCGAAACGATAATCCTAGATCGACTGGAGAGTCTTTCGTAAAGGATCTCGCTGTGGTTGCGCAACCACAGCTAGAGGAAGTAAAGGGAATAAGTACCGATATTACAAATACGGCGGAAATACGTTCCCCGAGACCCGCGGGAATAAGTCCCCGGGAAGCCGAAGGAATAAGTCCTTCGAAGCCTGAGGGAATAAGTCCCCAGGAAATGGCAGAGACATTGAATGTCATAGTCAATGATGTATCAAGTGTAGGCGCTTATACACTTGATCTGATTGCGCCTCCGAAGTTGACTTCGGAGATCACTCAGTTGCCAACGCTCGAACATAAAAGGTTCTTGCGTGATCTGCGTAGTGGCAAAGTCAAGCAGATCTGCGTATTCGTCGCTGACGACGAGTGTGTAGCCGACATAAGGTCAGCAACAATGTTCACTGAGAACGAGAGAGTTCTCAGTAGTTCATCTATGGACGAGAGTGTCCTAGATGAAAAGACACGAGTTGAGCGATATGACTTCCAATCGTGGGAATCGCTCAAGACAAACCCTCTCTATGAAGATTTGGTTGAATTCAAGGATGTATTCCCTGAAACTGTTCCGTGCGAATTACCAAAGGATAAAGGTATTCGACACGAGGTCGAGCTTAAACCAGGCTCGAAGTACTGTGTCATGAAGCAGTGGCCACTGCCTCGTGAACAAGTACTTGCGATCGACAAGTTCTTTGCCAATCGTTTAGCTGCGGGCCATGTGAGGGAATCAACTTCCCCACATAGCTCTCCGACCTTCTGTGTGCGAAAAGCAACAGGAGGGTGGCGGATAGTGCACGCGTTCAACAAATTGAACGCTGCAACGGTACCGGCACAGACGCCGATACCAAGGAAGGACGTAATCATTGATGGTATGTCAAAGAGTACTATCTTTTCGTCCATGGATTTGATGGATGGCTTCTATCAAATCCTTATGCGGGAACGGGATATACCCTATACCGCAGCTAGCACGCCTAGTGGCATGCTCTGGGAATGGCTAGTAATGCCACAAGGGCTCAGTAATGCCCCTGCCACGTTCAACAGATGTGTATCACATCTGTTGAGACCAGTACGAGAATTCGCGCGGAGTTACTTCGATGGCGTATTCATCCATAGTCGGGCTATGGATGGAAAGTCGGAAGTTGAGGTTCATAGCTACCACGTCATACAGGTTCTTACAATCATGCGAAAGCATCAATTGTATGCCAACCTCAAGAAGTGTATATTTGCAGCAAGCGAAATACCACTTCTTGGGTGCATCGTTGGTAAGAACGGTGTACATCCTGATCCCGAAAAGATCAAGGCGATCACCGACTTGCCTATGCCGGTTGATGTCAAAGGTCTTTGAAAATTCCTAGGGATAGCGGCGTATTTGCATAAGTATTCACGCAATTACGCCGAGATGACTGTACACCTCTCTCGTTTGTTGAAAAAGAACGAGAGGTGGTTATGGAACGCTGAATGCCAGCGCTCCTTTGATGGTATCAAGAAGAGCTTGATACAATCCCCAGTCCTAGCAATTGCCGATCAGGACAGGCCATTTCATGTGGTCTGTGATGCCAGCGATTTCGCAATCGGCTGTGCATTAATGCAGTACGACCTAGAAGGCGTTGAACGCGTCGTCTGCTATCAGTCGCGTCAGCTGCAACCAGCTGAGCGGAACTATCCAGTGCATGACAAGGGACTCCTTGCCATGAAGTATGCACTCGCGAAGTTCAGAGTCTATCTATTAGGAGATAGACCCTTCGTTGTTTACACTGACCGTGCGTCATTGCGCACGGCAGTCAACAGCCCGCACCTTTCACAACGAATGGCGCGGTGGTTGTCATTCATTGCAGAATACAACTTTACGGTCGAGTAAAAACCAGGACGACTTAACGTCGTCGCTGATGCACTCTCACGTCGTCCCGACTTTGAACCAGTCGTGAAACCCAGCAGTGAGACAGCCACTGTTGCGGTTATGACGTCCTCAGTCCCATCTACAACGTTACATGATGATGTGAGGCGGGCGTACGCCCAAGATGGTGAGATAGTGAAGTTGTTGACACATCTCTCTCACAACCATCTCGAGAATCGTTGAAACGATTGTCGTCTGCGTATCGATCTGCATCAGATCGATACACTACTCGTAACGGTTTACTGTATTATACAGCCGTTTCTGGTGACACACCACGTGTTGTCATTCCAGATGATACTGATGTGCGTTTGCTAATCATGCTCTAATATCACGATGCTCTTACAGGAGGACATCGTGGCCGTGAGAAAACGTATCTCACGGTGAGTCGAGACTTTTACTGACCCCGCCAGTATCAGTTTGTGCGCAAGTACATTCGCGCATGCGAAGTCTGTCAACGAGTGAAGTCAAGCCCTTCACTGCGTGCACCTTTACAGCCTCTACCGGTTCCGGCTGAGTGCTGGGAATCCATCAAAATGGATTTCGTCTTCGGGTTGCCCAAAGACGCACGCGGGAATACGGGTATTCTCGTTTTTGTTGACAGATTCAGCAAAATGGTACACCTTGTGGCTGTACCGGATTCAATCACAGCAAGTGGCTGTGCTTGTGTCTTTATTGACACCATCATCCGACATCATGGGTTGCCCCGTTAACTCATATCAGACAGAGATCCACGATTCACTGCTGATTTCTGGCGTTCCGTGTTCAAATCACTCGGAACGCGCTTGAAGATGTCGACATCTGATCATCCAGAGTCAGATGGTCAGACGGAACGTGCCAATCGTGTCCTTGAAGAGATACTTCGAGGATACGTACACTCCTTTAAGAGTTGGAGTGAGTTTTTGCCGATGGTAGAGTTTGCCATCAACAACTCGGTGCATGCGTCCACGACACATACACCGTTTTACGTGAATGGCTTACGCCATCCGCGTGTACCCACCTTACTAGAGTGTAACTCTGGTTTAAGGGGGGAGGGACTCGCGCGAGCAAAAACCGATTTGGTTCACGCTCATCACGCTCTGACGAAGAAGTCATTGCGTTTGATGCCGATATCGATAACATCGATATCGAAGAAGATGATGCCAGTGAGAGTGCGGAAGCCCTCACTGAAGACAATGATCCCAGTGAGAGTGCGGAAGCCCTCACTGAAGAAAAGGTTGTTGTCGCTGCAGTGCGCTCACAGCACACTGAAGCTAACGAGTCATCAGATGAGTTCATACTGGCTCGTGAAACGGTAGTCCGTTTTGTGCAAGACTCCATCGCCGAAGCGGTGGATAAGCAAAAGCAAAACGCTGACAAGAATGGAAGGGCAAACACTCTTTTATTCAATAAAGGTGACTTAGTCCTACTGTCTACGATTAATCTACCACGACATGTAGTGACTAACATGGGTAGCAGTAAACTACTACCCAAGTACATTGGCCCATTTCGTGTATTGCACCGCCTAGGCAATGCATACACGATCGAGTTACCACGTAAGATGCGAACGCATCCCACGTTTTACGTTGGTCGGCTTAAGCCGTACCATCAGTACGCTGCTTCTTCCGATGAAGAACGCCCTTGCGCTCAAGCATCTCGCAGAGAGCCTTGTGCTCCCGATGGTGGGCATCAACAAGGGTCTGAAGAGCAGCTATCTCATCCCGAGACCGATCAGCAATCCCACGAGCTACCCTTAGCTCGTCACGAAGAGATGTCAGAGATCTCTCGTTCTCAAGCTGAGCAAAGGCAAACTCATCTCGATGCTTCAAGACAGCGTCCGCCAGTTGGAGACGCCTATTCCGCTCATGTTCGAGATCGTCGCGTAACCCTTGCGCTACGCGATCAAAGAAGCTCTCGGGTACACACCGATCCACATGATCGTGTGGAGAGCGTCTTTCCTCCTCCTCCACCTCCATTAGAGGACTCTCGCGGTGGCCAGCGCTATCTAGTTGAGCAGCTGTTGAACCATCGCGACGTGAACGGACGTCGGACGAGTTATCTCGTCCGGTGGCGCGGCTATCCCCCGTCCTGGGATTCTTGGGAGACCCGCTCCCAACTGATGATCGACGTACTGGGTCCAGTCGAGCAGTACGATGCGGCAAATCCTGTGCCGCAAAAGGACCGCCGGAGAAAGTCTTCCCGGCACGGTCGTAAAGGGATTTCAGGTTGTCAATCCCTTCGTACATCTCAGTAGAGACACGTACGCGCCACCATGGGCTAGTAAGGGAGGTAAGCCTCCTTAGGTGCTCGTGCAGAGTTGTTCACACAACATGGGCACGAGTCTCCCCAAGAGAGGCAGGGTAATCCTTTCTCCCTTGACAGACGATGCAGCTTATAGCGTGCACCTGTCGGGGTTCGCTTTTCAAACTTATCACGAGCTTTGATAAGTTTGTCGTTCTAAGCGTCACGACCCACATCCTCCAGGTTATGGATGTAGGCGTTCCACGCTTGAAGCAGTGAGGGACCATCACGTTTGTGATTCCCACTGTACCATCGATGTGTGAAGAAAGCATCGATGAAGAACTCATTTTCAGCGCGATAGTCTTTCGCATTGGGGTCAAGGTGATGGATCCTTGACGAATAGAACAATCGTGTTCGATAACGATCACTCGTCGTCGCCGACAAGTGATCCATGACTGATTTAGGAGGCATCCATGCCTTCTTCTCAGGAGCGAGACGCAACACATTGCGGTCCCGCTCTTCCTGCGACGTGCCGACAGAAGTACTGGCACCTCGCTGTGAAGTGGTGTCCATAGGAGAACCGACACCACTATTAGCGCCCGAGTCTCACGAACTCGAGCGCCTTCGCTTCGGCGATGGTTCATCTGATTCTTCTGATGAACCAAAGATGCTGCGACGCAGAGCATCGTCCATGCCACGCTTGGCAGGCGGCTTGGTTTCGATCGCCGTCGATACGGATCCGTCATCCGTATCAGGAGAGTACGAGACACCGAGCTCGTACTCTGTGAAGACACGAGTGTCTTCATGACCAGCGCCTGCATCACCAAGTGACACAGGCTGGGTCGCTTCAGCAACCGATGAGACATCAGTTGCTGTTGTTTCTGCTTCGGCGTCCGCACAGAGACGTGCAGACGCGCTCTCGGCGGCCTTGCTCGCGCATCGCATGGACTTGTTTACCATGCGATGAGATGTTGGAAAGTGGACGCGGACTAACAAGTGCAAACCCTGTCCCAAATGATTTGGGACGAGTATCCATTTAGTCAATCAGTCACTAAAGTGACTGATGGTTAAGGGGGGGGGTGATGTAACGGGGTGAATCGTTACATAACAATTTATAAGAAATTGTTAATAGAATACAACTATAAGAGTTATATTCTCAGAATATTGTCATAAGAATAAACATTCTGCAGCACTTACGAGTAGTTCCTAATTGGTTGATATAGGCCATTATATCAACCAACGAAGACGCGCCACGACAGACGCACGCAATGAGTGGTGAGCAGATAACTGATTTACACATTTGTATTTAGACATAGTTAGATAAAGATAAATAGTGATTTATTGACGGACATTAACTATTATAAATACAGTTCTACTTTTTACTTTAACCAAGTACTCGCTTCTTCTTACCGTCTTCCTCTGCACGTACGAGTGTACGTGAAGTTACGAGGCACCGCCTTATTCTGTCATCAGAATAAGTAGCTTGTACTGTCACCAGTACAAGCTTCAGGGTGCCCCGTTACAGAGTCCACTTTCCAACAGTTCATCGCATGGTTAACAAGCCCATTCGGTGCGCGAGCAAGGCCGCCGAGTGCGCGTCCGCACGTCTCTGTGCGGACGCCGAAGCAGAAACCACAGCAACTTATGTCTCATCGGTTGCTGAAGCGACTCAGCCTGTGTTACCTGGTGATGCAGACGCTCTTCATGAATACACTCATCTCTTCACAGAGTATGAGCTCGTTCCTCATACTCTACTGATACGAAAGACGGGTCCGTATCGACGGCGATTGAATCTAAGCCGCCTGCCAAGCGTGGCATGGATGATGCTATGCGTCGTAGCATCTTTGGTTCATCTGATGAATCAGCTGAACCATCGCTGAAGCAAAGGCGCTCGAGATCGCGAGACTCGGGCGCTAACAGTGGGGTCGGTTCTCCTATGGACACCACTTCACAGCGAGGTGCCAGTACTTCTGTCGGCACGTCGCAAGAAGAGCGGGACCGCAACGTGTTTCGTCTCGCTCCCGAGAAGAAGGCATGAATGCCTCCTTAATCCGTCATGGATCGCTTGTCGGCGACGACGAGTGATCGTTATCGAACACGATTGTTCGATTCGTCAAGGATCCATCACCTTGACCCCAATGCGAAAGACTATCGCGCTGAAAATGAGTTCTTCATCGATGCTTTCTTCACACATCGATGGTACAGTGGGAATCACAAACGTGATGGTCCCTCACTGCTTCAAGCGTGGAACGCCTACATCCATAACCTGGAGGATGTGGGTCGTGACGCTTAGAACGACAAACTTATCAAAGCTCGTGATAAGTTTGAAAAGCGAACCCCGACAGGTGCACGCTATAAGCTGCATCGTCTGTCAAGGGAGAAAGGATTACCCTGCCTCTCTTGGGGAGACTCGTGCCCATGTTGTGTGAACAACTCTGCACGAGCACCTAAGGAGGCTTACCTCCCTTATAGCCCATGGTGGCGCGTACGTATCTCTAGTGAGATGTACGAAGGGATTGACAACCTGAAATCCCTTTACGACCGTGCCGGGAAGACTTTCTCCGGCGGTCCTTCTGCGGCACAGGATGTGCCGCGTCGTACTGCTCAACCAGACCCAGTACGTCAACCATCAGTTGGGAGCGGGTCTCCCAAGAATCCCAGGACGGGGGATAGCCGCGCCACCGGACGAGATAACTCGTCCGACGTCCGTTCACGTCGCGTTGGTTCAACAGACGCTCAACCAGATAGCGCTGGCCACCGCGAGAGTCCTCTAATGGAGGTGGAGGAGGAGGGAAGACGTTCTCCACACAATCGTGGGGAAGCGTGTGTAACCGAGAGTTTCTTTGATCGCGTAACGCAAGGGTTACGCGGCGATCTCGAACATGAGCAGGACAGGCGTCTCCAACTGGCGGACGCTGTCTTGAAGCATCGAGATGAGCTTGCCTTTGCTCAGCTTGAGAACGAGAGAGCTCTGACATCTCTTCGTGACGAGCTAAGGGTTGCTCTCGGGAATGTCGATCGGTCTCGGGATGAGATAACTGCTCTTCAGACCCTTGTCGATGCCCATCCTCGGGAGCACAAGGCTCTCTGCGAGATGCTTGAGCGCAAGGGCGTTCTTCATCGGAAGAAACAGCGTACTGATGGTACGGCCTAAGCCGACCAACGTAAAACGTGGGATGCGTTCGCATCTTACGTGGTAACTCGATCGTGTATGCATTGCCTGGGCGGTGCAATACACGAAATGGGCCGATGTACTTGGGTAGAAGTTTACTACTACCCAAGTAGTCACTACGTGCTTTGATAGGTTAACCGTAGACAGTAGGACTAAGTCACCTTTATTGAATAAAAGAGTGTTTGCCCTTCCATTCTTGTCAGCGTTTTGCTTTTGCTTATCCACCGCTTCGGCGATGGAGTCTTGCACAAAACGGACTACCGTTTCACGAGCCAGTATGAACTCATCTGATGACTCGTTAGCTTCAGTGTGCTGTGAGCGCACTGCAGCAACATCAACCTTTTCTTCAGTGAGGGCTTCCGCACTCTCACTGGGATCATCTTCTTCAGTGAGGGCTTCCGCACTCTCACTGGCATCATCTTCTTCGATATCGATGTTATCGATATCGGCATCAAACGCAATGACTTCTTCGTCAGAGCGTAATGAGCGTGAACCAAATCGGTTTTTGCTCGCGCGAGTCCCTCCCCCCCTTAAACCAGAGTCACACTCTAGTAAGGTGGGTACACGCGGATGGCGTAAGCCATTCACGTAAAACGGTGTATGTGTCGTGGACGCATGCACCGAGTTGTTAATGGCAAACTCTACCATTGGCAAAAACTCACTCCAACTCTTAGAGGAGTGTACGTATTCTCGAAGTATCTCTTTGAGGACACGATTGGCACGTTCCGTCTGACCATCTGACTCTGGATGATCAGATGTCGACATCTTCAAGCGCGTTCCGAGTGATTCGAACACGGAACGCCAGAAAATAGTTGTGAATCGTGGATCTCTGTCTGATACGAGTTCACGGGGCAACCCATGAAGTCGGAAGATGGTGTCAAAAAAGACACAAGCACAGCCACTTGCCGTGATTGACCCTGGTTCAGCCACAAGGTGTACCATTTTGCTGAATCTGTCAACAAAAACGAGAATACCCGTATTCCCGCGTGCGTCTTTGGGCAACCCGAAGACGAAATCCATTTTGATGGATTCCCAGCACTCAGCCGGAACCGGTAGAGGCTGTAAAGGTGCACGCAGTGAAGGGCTTGACTTCACTCGTTGACAGACTTCGCATGCGCGAATGTACTTGCGCACAAACTGATACTGGCGGGGTCAGTAAAAGTCTCGACTCACCGTGAGATACGTTTTCTCACGGCCACGATGTCCTCCTGTAAGAGCATCGTGATATTAGAGCATGATTAGCAAACGCACATCAGTATCATCTGGAATGACAACACGTGGTGTGTCACCAGAAACGGCTGTATAGTACAGTAAACCGTTACGAGTAGTGTATCGATCTGATGCAGATCGATACGCAGACGACAATCGTTTCAACGATTCTCGAGATGGTTGGGAGAGATGTGACAACAACTTCACTATCTCACCATCTTGGGCGTATGCCCGCCTCACATCATCATACAACGTTGTAGATGGAACTGAGGACGTCATAACCGCAACAGTGACTGTCTCACTGTTGGGTTTCGCGACTGTTTCAAAGTCGGGACGACGTGAGAGTGCATCAGCGACGACATTAAGTCGTCCTGGTTTGTACTCGACCGTAAAGTTGTATTCTGCAAAGAATGACAACCACCGCGCCATTCGTTGTGAAAGGTGCGGGCTGTTCACTGCCGTGCGTAAGGACGCATGGTCAGTGTAAACAACGAAGGGTCTATCTCCTAATAGATAGACTCTGAACTTCGCGAGTGCATACTTCATGGCAAGGAGTTCCTTGTCATGCACTGGATAGTTCCGCTCAGCTGGTTGCAGCTGACGCGACTGATAGCAGACGACGCGTTCAACGCCTTCAAGGTCGTACTGCATTAATGCACAGCCGATTGCGAAATCGCTGGCATCACAGACCACATGAAATGGCCTGTCCTGATCGGCTATTGCTAGGACTGGGGATTGTATCAAGCTCTGCTTGATACCCTCAAAGGAGCGTTGACATTCAGCGTTCCATAACCACCTCTCGTTCTTTTTCAACAAACGAGAGAGGTGTACAGTCATCTCGGCGTAATTGCGTGAATACTTATGCAAATACGCCGCTAGCCCAAGGAATTTTCGAAGACCTTTGACATCGACCGGCACGGGCCAGTCGGTGATCGCCTTGATCTTTTCGGGATCAGGACGTACACCGTTCTTACCAACGATGCACCCAAGAAGTGGTATTTCGCTTGCTGCAAATATACACTTCTTGAGGTTTGCATACAATTGATGCTTTCGCATGATTGTAAGAACTTGTCGGACGTGGTACTTGTGAACCTCAACGTCCGACTTTCCATCCATAGCTCGACTATGGATGAATACGTCATCGAAATAACTCGGCGCGAATTCTCGTACTGGCCTCAACAGATGTGATACACACCTGTTGAACGTGGCAGGGGCATTACTGAGCCCTTGTGGCATTACTAGCCATTCCCAGAGCATGCCGCTAGGCGTGCTAACTGCGGTATAGGGTATATCCTGTTCCGCATTAGGATTTGATAGAAGCCATCCATCAAATCCATGGACGAAAAGATGGTACTCTTTGACATACCATCAATGATTACGTCCTTCCTCGGTATCGGCGTCTGAGCCGGTACCGTTGCAGCGTTCAATTTGTTAAACGCGTGCACTATCCGCCACCCTCCTGTTGCTTTTCGCACACAGAAGGTCGGAGAGCTATGTGGGGAAGTTGATTCCCTCACATGGCCCGCTGCTAAACGATCGGCAAAGAACTTGTCGATCGCAAGTACTTGTTCACGAGGCAGTGGCCACTGCTTCATGACACAGTACTTCGAGCCTGGTTTAAGCTCGACTTCGTGTCGAATACCTTTATCCTTCGGTAATTCGCACGGAACAGTTTCAGGGAATACATCCTTGAATTCAACCAAATCTTCATAGAGAGGATTTTCCTTGAGCGATTCCCATGATTGGGACTCATATCGCTCAATTCGTGTCTTTTCATCTAGGACACTCTCGTCCATAGATGAACTACTGAGAACTCTCTCGTTCTCAGTAAACACTGTTGCTGACCTTATGTCGGTTACATACTCGTCGTCAGCGACGAGTATGCAGATCTGCTTGACTTTGCCACTACGCAGATCACGCAAGAACCTTTTATGTTCGAGCGTTGGCAACTGAGTGATCTCCGAAGTTAACTTCGGAGGCGCAATCAGATCAAGTGTATAAGCGCCTACACATGATCCGTTATTGACTATGACATTCAATGTCTCTGTCATTTCCTGGGGACTTATTCCCTCAGGCTTCGAAGGACTTATTCCTTCGTCTTCCCGGGGACTTATTCCCGCGGGTTTCGGGGAACTTATTTCCGCCGTATTTGTAATCTTGGGACTTATTCCCTTTACTTCCTCTAGCTGGGGTTGCGCAACCACAGCGAGATCCTCTACGAAAGACTCTCCAGTCGATCTAGGATTATCGTTTCGCTTAACCTGAGCGATCGATTGTTTCTCTTCTAGATGTTCCCCTCTAGGGATACATCTTTGTCCCAGTCCACCCGACTTATTCGAGTGGTGGACCTTCGGCGCAGCCTGTGTTTCCTCACAGCCGCCGGAACTTTGCTCCGAAGTGTAACCGTTTGGTACACTAAGGTTTTGTGCAGTCGTACTAACGACCGTACCACAAGTGAGGCCATCGCACTCACTCGTAGTACATCCACACGCTTGTGGACGCTCCAAAACGTTCATCAGATGGCCATCTGATGAACAAGCGGCAGGCATCGTTACTGTTCGATGTTGCCAGTTTACCCGTCGTTCGTACCTTCTAAGCCACGGTATTCCAAGGATGACATCAAATTTGTCATCCAAATCCAATACGATAAAGTCATCGTCATATTGGGTATCTTCTAGCGTATAGTGAATCTTCACTATAAGCTTCATGACGGTTACGGATGCGCCTGTCGCAAGACGTACCGTCATACTCATAGGAGATGTGTCACATTCACTGAACTTAAAGTGACCATCTTCTAGCGATTGGCGTCGCACAAAATTGTTGGACGCCCCACAATCGACTAGAGCTCGAAGGGACAACTTATTCGTCACTTCGAGTTTCAAGGTAATGAGTGGGACCTCATTACCTAGAGCAGCAACGCACAACGTTTGTGTGTTGGGAGCAACCTTCATCAAGAGGCCTACAAATTCTCTTGACGTTGCTGGACCAGTAGGGTGCTCCGCACCTACTGATCCTGCCCGTTTTTGACGGTCCATCCCGTTGTTGCGTCTTTGCACCAACACGGATCCTCGTCCCTGCCCCTTTCTCATGGGTGGACGGTCATTACGCCCAGTGTTGCGAGACACTGGACGAGGGGCACTACACTCATAAGCGTAGTGTCCTGTCTTCTGACATCTGTTGCATTTCTGCAACTTCTTGTAGTCTGTAGAGCGAGCCTTCTCGCTCTCTACATAACAGAGTTCCATCGGCTCTGGACCTCCGTTGTCATATCGTCTCGGCTGACGATATGATGTCGAGCTGGCGCGAGCCTGTCTCAGACTGAAGTCTTCCTGTTCCGCAATGGAAATGGCTTGTTCTAGTGAATCTAGTTCAAGCCGGAACAGGTGAGTCTTGACGGGACCATCCGCAAGACCCTGCATGAACACCGAAACCAACGTGTGTTCATCCACCGGGTTGGAACTTATACAACTCGTGAGATGTCGTATATGTTGTGCGTAAGCGTGCACATCACGCTTACCTTGTTTGATCTTCAAGAGTTCGGTTCGAGCTCTGAACTCAGCTCTAGGCGGTTCAAACGTTTGTCTGAGCCGCGACTTGAAGACTTCTAACGACCCAAACGCATATGGGTCGTGCAACTTGAGCCCCAGTGCCCAAGGCTTGGCACGTCCTGCCAGATTTGATTGGGCAAAATGCAACTTGCATGTCCCCGTCGTCGATGCGACGCGCCCTTATGGCGTCATCCAATTCGACAAACCATCTCAAGAGGGAGTCCTCTTCGACTCCCCTATACTTGGAGATGTCAATCTTCAAGGTCTCGGGTCGACGCGAGTGCATGAATGTTGAGCACCCTGTTCTCTCAACAACTCTGCTTGTTGAGAACCTTGTTGGTGAAGCAAGGCTACTTTCTTGCGTTCAACGTCAAGTTCATTTTGAATGAACTTGGCGATAGTAGCATGTTGGGCATCTCTATTGAGAGCCTCTAGCATGACGCAAACAGCATGGATGCCCATGGTTGAACCCATCCGTTCAACCGCATCCCATTCGACATTGCTGAAATGGCAGTAGCCGTCACGCGTAGCATGAAAGCTTTGGTCATCATCATCATCTAACGTAGTCATGTTAGATGTGAACGTGGTCCTTGGACGGACTACGAAGTGCTACCAGGTGCAACGGGGCACCCTGAAGCTTGTACTCATGACAGTACAAGCTACTTATTCTGATGACAGAATAAGGCGGTGCCTCGAAACTTCACGTACACTGGTATGTGCAGAGGAAGATGGTAAGGAGAAGCGAGTACTTCGTTAAAGTAAAAAGTAGAACTGTATTTATAATAGTTAATGTCCGTCAATAAATCACTATTTATCCTCATCTAACTATGTCTGAATACAAATGTGTATGTCAACTATCTGCTCACCACTCATCGCGTGCGTCTGTCGTGGTGCGTCTTCGTTGGTTGATATAATGGTCTATATCAACCAATTAGGAACTACTCGTAAGTGCTGCAGAATATTCGTCCTTATGACAATATTCTGTGAATAGAACCCTTATAGTTATATTCTATTAACAATTTCTTATAAATTGTTATGTAACGATTCACCCCGTTACACTTTTTCTTTACGACCAGAGACGTCGTAAAAAAAAGAGACGTGTTAGAAACTGAGTAAAATGAGAACTGAACACATTTACTACTTTTAGCGATAATAGACCTCACGTGCGTGTTTAAACTAAAACTATGCTTCGTAATTGAGTAGTCTTCATGAAGGTTCTTCTGGTGTTGTTACACCAGAGCAACGCCTTTCTTTTAAAGACTCTATTACGATAGACACCATCTATCCGTTATTGATAAGGTACGGTATTACCGCTTAGCGTATGTGATACAATAGGAAGGGTATCAGTGACCCTGATCTCTTGCTGTGTTTACCACACAAGCATACCTGGCAGTCATGACTGTTTGTGCGACCACGTTACATATGGTCGGGATCACCGCGGTGTTTTCACTTAAAATTGTGTAATTTTGTTTCTTATGAAACTGACATTAAGTACTGCTAAGCACGAAGCCGATGATTATTTTATACAGTTTCACTGGCTGCGGACGTATTAATGGGTGGGTTTGTTTCATAAATTTCCTAAAAAAGGAAGTTAATTTACCAGTTTCCTTTACATTTTGCGATTATTTTGGATATTTAATTATGTTCTCATCTTGTGGTTTTTATTTGCCTCTGTTTGTTAAAGAGAATTACTTTTCCTTAGCTCAAACTCCCCCTCTCGCTGTGGTCCAAACTTGACGGTAACACCGCATACACAGACTAATGCGACAAGAACTGATCCAACAATGCAGCGACAGACGTTCTCTGAGAAATCAATGGCGCTTCTACAGGTTGCTCGAAGCGACCACTACTCTCGCCCCAACATTTTACGTGATTCGTGTCCTTCAAGATTGCGGTCATGTGTGCTTTTGCTAGTGCTCTGCGGCCTCTGGATGCTCGTGATGATGGCCAATTTGTTAGGCATTAATCAGATTATGGGGCGTAGCATTAGCGTACCTGAAGGCGATGAAGAGGTCCATGATAGTAGCTACAGACCACCATCTCCTGCAAGAAGGGACTTGTTCTCGACCCACGACGAGAAGCGCATGGAGAAGCAGCTGATATACACAATCCACGAGACGGCGCAGCGGACAATCGACAAGCGTGGTATTGTGCTGCCATTGTACGACGACATTGCGACACTGGGCGTGTCTTTGATCTTGGAGCTACGAGCGATGGATGTGCATTTGCCAATCGAAATACCGTATTGTGGAGATTTAAAAGACTCGACGATCCGCACAGTTCTGAAAAAAAAGAAATGGGTGTGCCGCACTTCTATGACGTATGTGAACTCGCGTCAAAGACCGTCAGCTTGCGGGATGCGTCCGTGAAGGTCTTTTGTGAGAGTCTGAGCAACTGCTATGAGTTGTTCCGAAGCTTTGACGTGAAGATAGTGGCTGTGATTTTATCGCGGTTTGAAGAAGTTATGCTGCTGGATGCCGACACGTTGTTTTTCGAGAGCCCCGTGTCGCTTTGGGATACGGACAAGTACCTGAGTACGGGCACGCTATTCTTTTGTGATCGTTTTATTTCTGATACAAAGCACTTGGGTAAAATTCTCGATGGTGGCAAAGGTGATGTGCTGGAAATACATGACTTCATGTCGCGATTTGACGTGTCGCCTTTTAAGCCGTTGGGTTACATCGAGCGGCCAAGGGCAACAAGCAAGAACATGGTGCCGGTAAAGCTCAAATTCTCACCGAGCGAGCATTTGCTGACGAGTCATTCGTGGAACTACCGCGCTGGCCACGAGATGGACTCGTCGTTGGTACTATGGAACAAGAAGCGGCAGCCACAAGCAACAGCAATACTGGGAGCATTCGTAGCGGTAAATCGCATCGGCCAACCACCTTCTTACGGGGATAAGGAGCTGTTTTATGCGGCCGCCGAGCTCGCTGAGACGCAGTACGCGTTTTCTGATTTTGGAACCGGAGGCGCAGGTTGGGACTTTCGCGACTATGGCCCCGGCAAGTCGGTGCTCTGCGGCTCCGCCACGCATTATTACCCCGTAAAACCGAAGGACAAAAGGCTCGCTGCTAATGTTAGCGTGCTGTACCTCAACAGCGATGACATTCTGGTGTATGATCCCAAGAAAAAGCCCGTGTATTATACTCAGGCGCGGCCATACCAGAAATATCCAGCTAAATTGACGATGCGTGGTCAGTTGTTAGAGTGTTTGTACGATGAGACGGGTGTGCGCTTTTCTCCTGAGCAGGAGGATCACATGCTGCTACGTCAGCGCTTTCACGAGATTGCTGAGGCCTGGTTGAAGTAGCCACAGTCAAGTCAACACGATTTGATGCCGTCAGGTGGTACTTAGTTGACTTAATGTTGACTCAGCGGCGTTGTCGATTGTGCGGAAAGAGGGTAATGAATACGTGGACGCAGACAGTGCAGCACCGAGTATGTGGTCGTCATCGTTCATCGTAACGACTGCTTCTGAAGCTTCAACGATTGGGAAGCCGACCAGGGTTTTTGTTTCCTGATCTACATACCATCCTTCAGCATTCCAAACATGTTCTGAAATCGATTATGTTTCGACATAAAATCTTTCTGAATACAGCCAGTGTCATCTCATGTATTACTGGCTACACCGCAAGCGTGTATTCCCTACTGAATCTTATCGTTTGACGATCGACCTCCGTTCCGCACTGTTGCACGTCAACTCGCCTTCCCGCATCCCTAGCATTGCGTCCCACTATCCGTGTGACGGGGTGAACCGTTACATAACAATTTATAAGAAATTGTTAATAGAATATAACTATAAGAGTTATATTCTCAGAATATTGTCATAAGGACGAATATTCTGCAGCACTTACGAGTAGTTCCTAATTGGTTGATATAGACCATTATATCAACCAACGAAGACGCACCACGACAGACGCACGCGATGAGTGGTGAGCAGATAGTTGACATACACATTTGTATTTAGACATAGTTAGATGAGGGTAAATAGTGATTTATTGACGGACATTAACTATTATAAATACAGTTCTACTTTTTACTTTAACGAAGTACTCGCTTCTTCTTACCATCTTCCTCTGCACATACCAGTGTACGTGAAGTTTCGAGGCACCGCCTTATTCTGTCATCAGAATAAGTAGCTTGTACTGTCATCAGTACAAGGTCCAGGGTGCCCGTTACAATCCGACTTACATGAACCCCCCAGGGCGCCACCTCTCGACCTTAATCCAAATCAAATCATTCAAAGGACGCGCACGGTTGGGCCCGTGCGACCGCGGCGATGGACCTTGTGTAACAGGGTAGCTAGTCACTTGAAATTTACACGAAACGGTGTCAATTGGAATATCGTCTAGTATGACAATATTTTACTAATTTATCCGCGATGGGTAGTATTGAAGGAATGTTATCCGCCTTTCGGATAATATTCATTCGCTGCTCCAAGATTGGTTGATAAAAGACGGATCAACCCCAGATTGCCACCAATCGCTGCTAGACGCGAGCAATGAGTGGTGAGCAGGTTGTTGTCATACGCAGCGTAGCTTAATATCGTTAAAAAAAGATTTAAGTCATGTTGATAGCTTAACTATATTAGATACAGTTCTCTTTTTACCTTTACTTGATCGAGTCGTTCAAGTAGATTTGCTTCCTCTGCACGTACAAGTCTACGTGAAGTTTCGTGGATCCTGGACAAAGGATGCCCCATTCACCTGGTAGCACTTCGAAGTCCGTTCAACGACTACTTAGTGTCCGCCCAACGTGAACATGTTGGACGTAGAAGACGATAGCTTTCACGTCACACGTGAAGGCTACTACCATCTGAGTGAATCAGAGTGGGAGGTAGTCGGCCGCATGAGTTGTCCATGAACAAGCCCGCCATCAGTGGTATGCTGGAGTCTCTGAGCAGAGACCAGCTACATGCTGCTATCAACAAGTTTCTACAAGGGGAACTTGCCGTCGAACGACAGAAGATAGATTTGCTACAGCAGCAAGGCTCTAATATGTCGATGGGCGGACCGAAGCACATGCGTCGACCCGGAACCTTGAAGATTGATATCTTAAGGTACAAGGCAACCTATGTAGATTCCCTTTCGAGATGGGTCGTCGAGTTAGACGACGCCATCAGGGCCCGTCACATCCAGAGTGACGAGATGCAAGTCACCTTCGCACTGTCAAATGTGACGGAACCAGCAAAGACTTGGGCCTTAGGGGTCAAACTTCACGACCCAAACGTGTTTGAGTCATCAAACATCTTAAAGTTCGGCTCAAAGAGACGTTTGAGTCGCCGATAGCCGAGTTCAGAGCACGCTCTGCACTCCTGAGGCTAAATCAAGTTAAGCCTGACGCGCACGCTTACGCACAACACCTACGCTACCTTGCAAGTAGCGTTACGGAAAACCCTGTTGATGAGCACACGCGTATCAACGTGTTCATTTACGGCCTTGTAGATGGACCGGTGAAGACGCACATGTTTCAAGAGGACTTGCTGGAAAAGGCAATAGCGTATGCGGAACAAGAAGACCTTAGCCTGAGACAGTCTCAGGTTAACTCGTCAAACTATCATCCGACGAGACGACAGGAAACAGAAGTTCCCAAACCAATGGACCTCGTTTACATCGAGAGCAAAAACTCTCGCTCTCTGAGTCACAAGCGAACGGCAAGATGCCTTTGCTGTCAGAATATTGAACACTACGCTCATGAGTGTAGTGTCCCAAGCACAGCATCCCGTGCAAAGATAGGACGTGATGACCAAAGTTGGCCAAGGAAGGGTCCGAGGCGTGGGTCCGACCATGTCGCTAAGCCGCGACAGCAAAGGGGCCGTCAAAAACGGTCAGGGTCAGTAGGGGCGGAGCACCCTGCTGATCCAGCATCGTCTAGATAATTCGCAGGACGCTCGACGAAGATTGCTCCCTACACGCAGTCTCTGTGCATTACTGCCCTAAGTGATGAGGAGTCTCTCATCACTTGGAAGATCGAAGTGACAAGTGGAATGTCACTTCGCGCCCTAGTTGACTGTGGGGCGTCGAACAGTTTTATTCGATGTCAGTTGCTAGAAGGTAGTAGACTCAAATATGTTGAGCGAGAGTTCTCCCCAACGAGGATGACGATGTGCCTTTCTATAGACGCATCTGTAACAGTGAATAAACGTGTAGTGGGAATTCACTACACGTTAGAAGGAAAGCAGTACGATGATGACTTCATCGTACTAGATTTGGATGACAAATCTGATGTCATCCTTGGTCTGCCATGGCTTAGAAAGTACCAGCCATGGGTTAGCTGGCAGCATCGATCCGTGAAGATGCCCGCCGTTTGTTTATCGGATGGACATCTGATGAACGTCTTGGAGCGTCCACAAGCGTGTGGATGTACTATGGGTGAGTGCGATGGCCTCACTTGTGGTACGGTCGTTAGTTCGATTGCACAAGATCACAGTGTAGAAGGCCACTGCACTGTGGAGCCAGCTTCCGGCACCTGTGTAGAGACACAGGCTGCGCCGAAGGTTCACCACTCGAAGAGATCGAGTGGACTGGAACACGGATGCACACCAAGAAGGGTGCATACGAGAAGAGAGGCTATTGTTGTTCAGGATGAACAACACTTTAGAGCAAGATTGACTACCAGAAAAAAAAAAGTCGATAGTAGAGCAAGCCCGATCGACTGAAAGAGAGTCGATCGAAGAGGACGTGGCCGTGATAGTACACGTAACAGAAGAAAATTCCATCGTTCCTGAGAGTGATAAATCCCGAGAGAGTTATGTTAATGGTGTGGATCCCCAACCACCTGCGGATGTGTTTCCCAGGATATCACCGAGTCAGTTTATGTCTTAGTGAATGACGAATCAAGTGTAGGCGCTTATACACTTGATCTGGTGACGCCCCTGAAGTCAGCTTCGGAGGTGGTCAAGTTGCCAACGCTAGAATCTAAAAGATTCTTGCAAGATCTGCGTATTAACAAGATCAATCAGATCTGCGTACTCTTCACAGAGGACGAGTACGTCGCCGATATTTGGTCGGCACAAGTGTTTGCTGAGAACAAACGGGTTCTCAGTAGCTCATCTATGGACGAGAGTGTCTTCGATGAGAAGACCCGGATTGAGAGACACACGTCTCAATCTTGGGAGTCTTTGAAGACAAATACTTTGCATAAGGATTTGTTCGAATTCAGGGATGTTTTCCCGGGTGCGTGTCATGCGAGCTGCATAAGGACAAAGGCACTCGGAATGAGATCAAACTGAAACCTGGTTCTAAATACTGTGTCATGAAGCAGTGGCTACTACCCCGTGAAAAGTTCACAGCAATCGCAAAATTAGTTGTCGATCGTTTAGCGTCTGGTCATGTCATATAATCAACATCCTCACACATCTCTCCGACCTTCTCTGTGCGAAAGGCCACAGGAGAGTGGTGGATAGTGCACGCGTTCAGCAAATTAACGGCTGCAACGGTACCGGCTTACACGCCGATCCCAAGACAGGATGTCATCATAGATGGTATGGCAAAAAGTTCCATCTTTTCATCTATTGATCTGATGGATGGATTCTATCCGATCCTCGTGCGTGAGCAGGACATCCCGCACACAGCAGTGAGCACCCCTATTGGTCTGCTGTGGGAGTGGCTAGTGATGCCACAGGTGCTAAGTAACCCCCCCTCAACGTTTAACAGATGTGTTACAAATCTGTTGTGATCGGTGCGCGATTTCGCGCCGAGTTACTTCGACGATGTCTTCGTCCATGGCCGGGATGTGGATGGAAAGACGGACGTGGATGTTCATACAATCCACGTCCGGAAGGTTTTTACACTAATGCGAGAGCATAAGTTGTTTCGCGAACATCAAGTAGTGTTTATTCGCAGCGAACGAAATACCATTTCTTGGCTACACCGTAGATAAACATGGTTTACGCCCTGATCCGGAAAAGATCAAGGCGATTAGCGACTGGCCTGTTCCAGTCGACGTCAAGGGACTTCGAAAGTTCCTTGTCTTGGTAGCGTATTTGCACATATACTCGCGCAACTATGCCGAGATAAATGTACTTCTCTCGCGTCTATTAAAGAAAAACGAGAGTTGGTCATGGAGCGCTGAGTGTCAGCACTTTTTTGAAGTCATCAAAAAAAGCTTGGTGCAATCGCGTGTGTTGGCAATTGCAGACCAGGACTGACCATTTCATGCGGTCTGTGACGCCAGCGATTTTGCAATCGGCTGCGCGCTCGTGCAGTACGACTCAGACGGCGTTGAGCGCGTCGTCTGTTATCAATCGCGTCAGCTGCAAGCAGCTGAGCAAAATTGTCCCGTTCATGACAAGGAACCCCTTGCCATGAAATATGTACTAGCCAAGTTTCGGGTATATCTCCTAGGAGATAGGCCCTTCATAGTTTATACCGACCATGCGTCGTTACGCACGGCCATAAACATTCCACACCTCTTGTAACGAATGGCGAGGTGGCTGTCTTTCTTCGCGGAGTAAAACTTCTCCGTCGAGTATAAAACAGGGTGACTTAATGTCGTCGCTAATGCTCTTTCGAGCCGACTGCTCAACCCAACAGTAGGGGTGATCCCACTGTCGCGACACTAACAGTGAGTGTTCCGTCGTCGAATCTGCTCCATGACGTGCGAAAGCAAACACAGAAGATGAGTCTTTTCTGCGATTGATCGATTACGTGTCTGGTCCATGCAGTCAAGCTTTAAAAAGCTTGTCGTCTCGATACTGCTCTTCAGCCGAACGGTATTCGGTTCGTGATGGATTGGTGTACTTCACAGCATTCAATAACGACACACCTGGCGTCGTTGTTCCCGGTCAGGATGATTTGCGATTGCGCATCATGTATGAGTATCACGATGCCCCAACAAGTGGACATCGCGGTAGAGAAAAGACTTACCTCATGGTGAGTCGTGACTTCTACTGGCCCCGCCAGTATGAGTTTGTTGCTAGACGATATTCCAATTGACACCGTTTGGTGCCAATTTCATGTAACGGGCTACCCCGTTACATCACCCCCCCCTTAGCCATCAACACGGTGATTGAATCAGAATTGATTGGGACAGGGTGACCACCGTTGGATCGCCCTGGGAAAGGGAGCACTTGTTGGTCGAATTCCATTCATTAGCCAATCCAACGCATGGTTTCCAAAACCACGCAAGCTGCCTCTGCAGCAGCAAGAAGGTCGTATTCACGCATGCGTGCGGCCGTGGAAAGTGCCTCTCACACCTCAGCAGAGGTGATTCGTCGCCTGTTGTTGTGAATCGTCCACGTGGTGAGTCACCACGTGCGACCGGTACATCCGCTGCGTCTGCAGCGGGTACTTTGAGTCGTAATCAAGACGAGTCTGAGATAGAGCTCATCTTTTTTGGCGAGTCGGATGATGCATCCGACTCGAAGGCGACGCCTCACTCCTCCAGATCACCCGGGGCGGACAATGCAAGAGCCAGGTTGACTGGCTCTGGTCAACGCGGCGGTATCATGACCGAGATCTTCGGATCGAGTGATCATTCCGATGAATCTCCGCCTTACGCAAGTCCGTCTAACGATAGGACGCGTGGGAATGGTGGTGATGCACCTATGCATCACCACGAACGCAGTAATTCAAGGGATCGGGGTAACACAGGTGCTAGTGCTCATGCTGGATCCAATCAAGAGGCCAGGGACCGAAATGTCCTGCGCCACGCTCCCCAAGTGGAGTCTTCGTGGATGCCGCCATCCAGAGAGTCGGATTGAGTGGCCGGCATGACCACCGAACGGGATCGAATCTCGTTGTTCGGTTGCAGAAAGATTTGCCCACCTGATTCCAGCACGGAAACTATCCGTGCTGAGGAAGAGTTCTTCACCGATGCGTTCTTCAAACATCGGTGGTACAATGGTAGCCGTGTACGAGACGGCAAAGCCTTGGTGCAGGGATGGAATGCCCTCATCCGCAACATCGAGTGCATTGGCCGTGAGGCCTGGCTCGCCAAACTTGATGCATCTCGCATCAGGTTTGAGAAACGCAACCCAGTCGGGGCGCGATACAAGTTGCACCAGCTTTCAAGAGAGGCAGGATTACCCTGTCTCTCGTGGGTTAACTCATGTATAGGTTGCCTAACAACTCGAATGGTGCCCCTAGGAAGACCTCCCTCCCTAATGATCCCTACTGGAGGGCGCACATCTCTTCCGAGATGGCCGAAGGGATCGACACTTTGCAATCCCTGTACTCGCGTTCCGGGGAGGTATTTTTCCGACGGCCCTTCTTCAAACGCAGCGGGTGGGTCTCGTCGTACTGCTCGACGGGACCAAGGACATTGACAATCAGCTGGGCAAGAGGCTCCCAGCTATCCCACGCCGGTGGATAGCCACGCCAGCGGACGAGGTAACTCGTCCGGACGCCATTCACATCGCGGTGGTTCAAAATACGCTCCACTAGGAACCTTTGACCACCGCTTGAGTCCATCAAAGGATGTGGTGGCGGTGGGAACACCTGATCCGGCTCCAGGGTCGGATCAAGTTGATGTTCAAGAGCTGAACTTTCTAACAGAACAGTTGCAAGATGACCTGGCTCATGGACGGACTCGGAGTTATGGGCTTGAGGATCTTGTAAGGGATACTACAATTCCCTAACGCACGATCGTCCGAACGATCGTGCCGCTTTTGCGTTTGCGCAACTTGAGAACGAACTTTCGACTCTTTCTCTTCATGATGAGCTGGCTGCTGCTCGTCGAGACATCGCTGAACTACGTGAACAGGTCGCTTCGCTAGTCGACCAGACTGGCTCGTTGAAACGGGACCACTCGAGGGTGGTCTAGGCTATCGACCGCGGAGGTGTTCTTCGCATCTCGAAACGGGATCGTACTGATAGTACGGGCGGACACGACCAACGTAAATCGTAGGATGCGTGCGCATCGTATGGAGCAGTTCAATCGTGTGTGCGTTGCCCATTCGGCGCAACACACGAAATGGACCGATATACTTGAGCAGTAATTTACTGCTGCCCACGTTTGTCACTGCGTGTTTCGGTAAGTTTACTGTAGACAGTAAAACTAGGTCTCCTTCATCAAATGAAAGAACATTCGCTCTTCCATGTTTGTCTGCGTTTCTCTTCTGTCTGTCTAGTGCATCTGCAATATAGTCTTGAATCAAGCGTACAACCGCTTCTCGAGTCAGCAGAAATTTCTCTGCTGACTCATCCTTGTCAACAGCAGTACGCTTCGTGTGCACTGCTGAAAGAACGTTGTCTTCACCAGTGAGGGTATCATCGTCCTCACTTTGGCAGTCATTTGCAATGCTAAATATGCCAGCATCGTCGTCATCATCATCATCATAGATATCGTTCGCATCGACATCGGCATCCACTACGTCGACACCATTGTCGACGGGTGATGAGCAAGAACCAGATCAGTTTTTGTTCGAGCGAGTCCACCCCCCCCTTAAACTAGAGTCACACTCTAAGAAGGCGGGTAAATGTGGATGGCGTATGCCATTCATGAAGAACGGTGTATGCGTTTTGTTGACGCATGCACTAAGTTGTTGATGGCGAATTCCGCCATCGGCAAGAACTCACTCCAACTTGCAAACGAGTGAACGCACCCTCGAAGTATCTCTTCGAGGACGCGGTTAATGCGTTCCGTTTGATCATCTGTTTCTGGATGGTCAGAAGTCGACATCGTCAAACGTGTTCCAAGTGAAGTCGGAAGATAGAATCGATCAAGACACGCGCACAGCCCTGGGCTGTGATTGACTCCGGTACAGCAACAAGATGTACCATCTTGCTGAACCTATCAACAAACACAAGTTTATGCGTATTCTTATGAACGTCTTTGGGAAATCCGAAGACGAAGTCCATCGATACGGACTGCCAACAATCTGCCGGAATCGGAAGAGGCTGTAAGGGTGCGCAGGATGAAGGACTAGGCTTCACCCGTTGACAAACTTCGCAAGCACGAATGTATCTGCGCACAAACTCATACTGGCGGGGCCAGTAGAAGTCACGACTCACCATGAGGTAAGTCTTTTCTCTACCGCGATGTCCACTTGTTGGGGCATCGTGATACTCATACATGATGCGCAATCGCAAATCATCCTGACCGGGAACAACGACGCCAGGTGTGTCGTTATTGAATGCTGTGAAGTACACCAATCCATCACGAACCGAATACCGTTCGGCTGAAGAGCAGTATCGAGACGACAAGCTTTTTAAAGCTTGACTGCATGGACCAGACACGTAATCGATCAATCGCAGAAAAGACTCATCTTCTGTGTTTGCTTTCGCACGTCATGGAGCAGATTCGACGACGGAACACTCACTGTTAGTGTCGCGACAGTGGGATCACCCCTACTGTTGGGTTGAGCAGTCGGCTCGAAAGAGCATTAGCGACGACATTAAGTCACCCTGTTTTATACTCGACGGAGAAGTTTTACTCCGCGAAGAAAGACAGCCACCTCGCCATTCGTTACAAGAGGTGTGGAATGTTTATGGCCGTGCGTAACGACGCATGGTCGGTATAAACTATGAAGGGCCTATCTCCTAGGAGATATACCCGAAACTTGGCTAGTACATATTACATGGCAAGGGGTTCCTTGTCATGAACCGGACAATTTTGCTCAGCTGCTTGCAGCTGACGCGATTGATAACAGACGACGCGCTCAACGCCGTCTGAGTCGTACTGCACGAGCGCGCAGCCGATTGCAAAATCGCTGGCGTCACAGACCGCATGAAATGGTCAGTCCTGGTCTGCAATTGCCAACACACGCGATTGCACCAAGCTTTTTTTGATGACTTCAAAAAAGTGCTGACACTCAGCGCTCCATGACCAACTCTCGTTTTTCTTTAATAGACGCGAGAGAAGTACATTTATCTCGGCATAGTTGCGCGAGTATATGTGCAAATACGCTACCAAGACAAGGAACTTTCGAAGTCCCTTGACGTCGACTGGAACAGGCCAGTCGCTAATCGCCTTGATCTTTTCCGGATCAGGGCGTAAACCATGTTTATCTACGGTGTAGCCAAGAAATGGTATTTCGTTCGCTGCGAATAAACACTAATTGATGTTCGCGAAACAACTTATGCTCTCGCATTAGTGTAAAAACCTTCCGGACGTGGATTGTATGAACATCCACGTCCGTCTTTCCATCCACATCCCGGCCATGGACGAAGACATCGTCGAAGTAACTCGGCGCGAAATCGCGCACCGATCACAACAGATTTGTAACACATCTGTTAAACGTTGAGGGGGGGGTTACTTAGCACCTGTGGCATCACTAGCCACTCCCACAGCAGACCAATAGGGGTGCTCACTGCTGTGTGCGGGATGTCCTGCTCACGCACGAGGATCGGATAGAATCCATCCATCAGATCAATAGATGAAAAGATGGAACTTTTTGCCATACCATCTATGATGACATCCTGTCTTGGGATCGGCGTGTAAGCCGGTACCGTTGCAGCCGTTAATTTGCTGAACGCGTGCACTATCCACCACTCTCCTGTGGCCTTTCGCACAGAGAAGGTCGGAGAGATGTGTGAGGATGTTGATTATATGACATGACCAGACGCTAAACGATCGACAACTAATTTTGCGATTGCTGTGAACTTTTCACGGGGTAGTAGCCACTGCTTCATGACACAGTATTTAGAACCAGGTTTCAGTTTGATCTCATTCCGAGTGCCTTTGTCCTTATGCAGCTCGCATGACACGCACCCGGGAAAACATCCCTGAATTCGAACAAATCCTTATGCAAAGTATTTGTCTTCAAAGACTCCCAAGATTGAGACGTGTGTCTCTCAATCCGGGTCTTCTCATCGAAGACACTCTCGTCCATAGATGAGCTAATGAGAACCCGTTTGTTCTCAGCAAACACTTGTGCCGACCAAATATCGGCGACGTACTCGTCCTCTGTGAAGAGTACGCAGATCTGATTGATCTTGTTAATACGCAGATCTTGCAAGAATCTTTTAGATTCTAGCGTTGGCAACTTGACCACCTCCGAAGCTGACTTCAGGTGCGTCACCAGATCAAGTGTATAAGCGCCTACACTTGATTCGTCATTCACTAAGACATAAACTGACTCGGTGATATCCTGGGAAAACACATCCGCAGGTGGTTGGGGATCCACACCATTAACATAACTCTCTCGGGATTTATCACTCTCAGGAACGATGGAATTTTCTTCTGTTACGTGTACTATCACGGCCACGTCCTCTTCGATCGACTCTCTTTCAGTCGATCGGGCTTGCTCTACTATCGACTTTTTTTTTTCTGGTAGTCAATCTTGCTCTAAAGTGTTGTACATCCTGAACAACAATAGCCTCTCTTCTCGTATGCACCCTTCTTGGTGTGCATCCGTGTTCCAGTCCACTCGATCTCTTCGAGTGGTGAACCTTCGGCGCAGCCTGTGTCTCTACACAGGTGCCGGAAGCTGGCTCCACAGTGCAGTGGCCTTCTACACTGTGATCTTGTGCAATCGAACTAACGACCGTACCACAAGTGAGGCCATCGCACTCACCCATAGTACATCCACACGCTTGTGGACGCTCCAAGACGTTCATCAGATGTCCATCCGATAAACAAACGGCGGGCATCTTCACGGATCGATGCTGCCAGCTAACCCATGGCTGGTACTTTCTAAGCCATGGCAGACCAAGGATGACATCAGATTTGTCATCCAAATCTAGTACGATGAAGTCATCATCGTACTGCTTTCCTTCTAACGTGTAGTGAATTCCCACTACACGTTTATTCACTGTTACAGATGCGTCTATAGAAAGGCACATCGTCATCCTCGTTGGGGAGAACTCTCGCTCAACATATTTGAGTCTACTACCTTCTAGCAACTGACGTCGAATAAAACTGTTCGACGCCCCACAGTCAACTAGGGCGCGAAGTGACATTCCACTTGTCACTTCGATCTTCCAAGTGATGAGAGACTCCTCATCACTTAGGGCAGTAATGCACAGAGACTGCGTGTAGGGAGCAATCTTCGTCGAGCGTCCTGCGAATTATCTAGACGATGCTGGATCAGCAGGGTGCTCCGCCCCTACTGACCCTGACCGTTTTTTGACGGCCCCTTTGCTGTCGCGGCTTAGCGACATGGTCGGACCCACGCCTCGGACCCTTCCTTGGCCAACTTTGGTCATCACGTCCTATCTTTGTACGGGATGCTGTGCTTGGGACACTACACTCATGAGCGTAGTGTTCAATATTCTGACAGCAAAGGCATCTTGCCGTTCGCTTGTGACTCAGAGAGCGAGAGTTTTTGCTCTCGATGTAAACGAGGTCCATTGGTTTGGGAACTTCTGTTTCCTGTCGTCTCGTCGGATGATAGTTTGACGAGTTAACCTGAGACTGTCTCAGGCTAAGGTCTTCTTGTTCCGCATACGCTATTGCCTTTTCCAGCAAGTCCTCTTGAAACATGTGCGTCTTCACCGGTCCATCTACAAGGCCGTAAATGAACACGTTGATACGCGTGTGCTCATCAACAGGGTTTTCCGTAACGCTACTTGCAAGGTAGCGTAGGTGTTGTGCGTAAGCGTGCGCGTCAGGCTTAACTTGATTTAGCCTCAGGAGTGCAGAGCGTGCTCTGAACTCGGCTATCGGCGACTCAAACGTCTCTTTGAGCCGAACTTTAAGATGTTTGATGACTCAAACACGTTTGGGTCGTGAAGTTTGACCCCTAAGGCCCAAGTCTTTGCTGGTTCCGTCACATTTGACAGTGCGAAGGTGACTTGCATCTCGTCACTCTGGATGTGACGGGCCCTGATGGCGTCGTCTAACTCGACGACCCATCTCGAAAGGGAATCTACATAGGTTGCCTTGTACCTTAAGATATCAATCTTCAAGGTTCCGGGTCGACGCATGTGCTTCGGTCCGCCCATCGACATATTAGAGCCTTGCTGCTGTAGCAAATCTATCTTCTGTCGTTCGACGGCAAGTTCCCCTTGTAGAAACTTGTTGATAGCAGCATGTAGCTGGTCTCTGCTCAGAGACTCCAGCATACCACTGATGGCGGGCTTGTTCATGGACAACTCATGCGGCCGACTACCTCCCATTCTGAGTCACTCAGATGGTAGTAGCCTTCACGTGTGACGTGAAAGCTGTCGTCTTCTACGTCCAACATGTTCACGTTGGGCGGACACTAAGTAGTCGTTTGAAGGACTACAAAGTGCTACTAGGTATAATAGGACACCCTTTATTGGAGTTGTAAAATCATGATGTTGAGCACTTGCTGCAAATTAGTTAGAAGCAAAAGTGAGTATATAGTGTGTTAAGTTCTAGGTTTTGAAAACACTACGATATGCCTAAACAGAAACGGAAACCACATTTGAACATGTCAAGTCTCATGTGTTGACCATCTCTCCCTGTCCCATGTGACATCCTGTGACATGACGTCCGATTATCTTGGTCCCATGTATCGTTACGTCACATGTCGCCCGTCTCTCCCGTCCCATCTGTCATTTGTCACATCATCAGCCACTCAGGGAAGGTCTGACTTACATCTACTAGGTCTTGCTGCTGACCCCGAGAACCTTCTCGACCTGCCGGAAAAAATGTAATTTAACAGGAGTGCCACGAAACTTCACGTATACTCGTTCGTGCAGAGGAAGCTAATCTATTCGAACTGCTAGTTCGAGTAAAGGTAAAAAGAGAACTGTATTTAATATCGCTAAGCTATTAATAAAACGTTGAAGAAATATTATCCCCTTTAGGATAAACTTCATGTGCTGCTCAAAAATTGGTTGATACAAGACATATCAGCCATAGAATACCACCAATCGCTGCTAGACGCGCGCAATGAGTGGTGAGCAGGTTGTCGTCATACGACAACGTAGTTTAACATGTTCAGATAAAGATTAATGTTATATTGATAGCTTAACTATGTCAAATGCAGTTCTCTTTTTACCCTTTACTCAACTTAGCTGTTGAGCAGATTAGCTTCCTCTGCACGTACTAGTGTACGTGAAGTTTTGCGGCATCCCAAACGAAGAAGACCTCGTTACACAACCACTTTTCTGTGCTGCTAAATGGATAGTAGTTTTTGGAGTTATAAATACTGCTACAATGAGAATCAGATCCCCTCAAAAACTGATCAATCCAATCCAGACAGCTCCAAGACCACTGTCCATGCAAGTTGCCCTTTTTTCGACACGAACATCACCGTCATAAGTCGTGATCCCCGAGATTAAACTCGATTAAAAGTGTGACTACAGCGGGGGGGGCACACGTGGCTGGGGATCTGCCACGTGCGGACGGTTACAACGACGAGACGGCAGCTTTTCACACGTAGAGAGCCATCGGACAGCACCAAGATAACGCTTATTAGCAACAGCATTACGGTCCATTGCCGCGGTCACACGGATCTGACCGTGCGCGCCATGTAAATAAACGGATACGGAGTGATGGTCATGGGGTAGCGCGATGGTTCGGGTTCCTTTTCATAGTGGGATAGCGGGACACAATGCTAGGGAAGCGGGAAGGAGAGTTGACGTGCAGCAGTGCGGAATGGAGGCGGATCGACGAACAAGAAGATTGAACAGGTAGTATACGTTTGGAATGTAGACAGTAATCTAAGGGATCACACTAGTTGTAACGAGAAAGACCTAATGTCGAAATGTAGAACGGTTTCAAAACACGTTTGTCATGCCATAGGATGGTGGTTTGAATCAGCAATCGGACAACGCTGGTCGACTGTTAACACGTCGATGTAACGGGGTGAATCGTTACATAACAATTTATAAGAAATTGTTAATAGAATATAACTATAAGGGTTCTATTCTCAAATATTGTCATAAGAATAAACATTCTGCAGCACTTACGAGTAGTTCCTAATTGGTTGATATAGGCCATTATATCAACCAACGAAGACGCGCCACGACAGACGCACGCAATGAGTGGTGAGCAGATAACTGATTTACACATTTGTATTTAGACATAGTTAGATGAAGATAAATAGTGATTTATTGCAGACATTAACTATTATAAATACAGTTCTACTTTTTACTTTAACCGAGTACTCGCTTCTTCTTACCGTCTTCCTCTGCACGTACGAGTGTACGTGAAGTAACGAGGCACCACCTTATTCTGTCATCAGAATAAGTAGCTTGTACTGTCACCAGTACAAGCTTCAGGGTGCCCCGTTACAGTCTTCCTCTGCACGTACGAGTGTACGTGAAGTTACGAGGCACCGCCTTATTCTGTCATCAGAATAAGTAGCTTGTACTGTCACCAGTACAAGCTTCAGGGTGCCCCGTTCCACCTGGTAGCACTTCGTAGTCCGTCCAAGGACCACGTTCACATCTAACATGACTACGTTAGATGATGATGATGACCAAAGCTTTCATGCTACGAGTGACGGCTACTCTCATTTGAACAATGTCGAATGGGATGCGGTTGAACGGATGGGTTCAACCATGGGCATCCATGCTGTTAGCGTCATGCTAGATGCTCTCAATAGAGATGCCCAACATGCTACTATCGCCAAGTTCATTCAAAATGAACTTGACGTTGAACGCGAGAAAGTAGCCTTACTTCACCAACAAGGTTCTCAACAATCAGAGTTGTTGAGAGAACAGGGTGCTCAACATTCGAACTGTTGAGACAGCAGCAGGCTGCAGCTGGTGGGTCGATGCACTCACGTCGACCCGAGACCTTGAAGATTGACATCTCCAAGTATAGGGGAGTCGAAGAGGACTCCTTCTTGAGATGGTTTGTCGAATTGGATGACGCCATAAGGGCGCGTCGCATCGACGATGGGGATATGCATGTTGCATTTGCCCAGTCAAATCTGGCAGGACGTGCCAAGACTTGGGCACTGGGGCTAAAGTTGCACGACCCATATGCGTTTGGGTCGTTAGAAGTCTTCAAGTCGCGGCTCAGACAAACGTTTGAACCGCCTAGAGCTGAGTTCAGGGCTCGAACCGAACTCTTGAAGCTCAAGCAGGGTAAGCGTGATGTGCACGCTTACGCACAACATATACGACATCTCACGAGTTGTATAAGTTCCAACCCGGTGGATGAACACACGTTGGTTTCGGTGTTCATGCAGGGTCTTGCGGATGGTCCCGTCAAGACTCACCTGTTCCGGCTTGAACTAGATTCACTAGAACAAGCCATTTCCATTGCGGAGCAGGAAGAATTCAGTCTGAGACAGGCTCGCGCCAGCTCGACATCATATCGTCAACCGAGACGATATGACAGCGGAGGTCCAGAGCCGATGGAACTCTGTTATGTAGAGAGCGAGAAGGCTCGCTCTACAGACTACAAGAAGTTGCAGAAATGCAACAGATGTCAGAAGACAGGACACTACGCTTACGAGTGTATTGCCCCTCGTCCAGTGTCTCGCGACACTGGGCGTAGTGACCGTTCACCCATGAGAAAGGGGCAGGGACGAGGATCCGCTGTTGGTGCAAAGACGCAACAACGGGATGGACCGTCAAAAAACGGACAGGATCAGTAGGTGAGGAGCACCCTACTGATCCAGCAACGTCAAGAGAATTTGTAGGCCTCTTGATGAAGGTTGCTCCCAACACACAAACATTGTGCGTTGCTGCTCTAGGTAATGAGGTCTCACTCATTACCTTGAAACTCGAAGTGACAAATAAGTTGTCCCTTCGAGCTCTAGTCGATTGTGGGGCGTCCAACAATTTTGTGCGACGCCAATCGCTAGAAGATGGTCACTTTAAATTCAGTGAATGTGACACACCTCCTACGAGGATGACGGTACGTCTTGCGACAGGCGCATCCGTAACCGTCATGAAGCGGATAGTGAAGATCCACTATACGCTAGAAGGTACCCAATATGACGATGACTTTATCGTATTGGATTTGGATGACAAATTTGATGTCATCCTTGGAATACCGTGGCTCAGAAGGTACGAACCACGGGTAAACTGGCAACATCGGACAGTAACGATGCCTGCCGCTTGTTCATCAGATGGCCATCTAATGAACGTTTTGGAGTGTCCACAAGCGTGTGGATGTACTACGAGTGAGTGCGATGGCCTCACTTGTGGTACGGTCGTTAGTACGACTGCACAAAACCTTAGTGTAACAAACGGTTACACTTGGGAGCAAAGTTCCGGCGGCTGTGAGGAAACACAGGCTGCGCCCAAGGTCCACCACTCGAATAAGTCGAATGGACCGGGACAAAGATGTATCCCTAGCGGGGAACATCTAGAAGAGAAACAATCGATCGCTCAGGTTAAGCGAAACGATAATCCTATATCGACTGGAGAGTCTTTCGTAGAGGATCTGGCTGTGGTTGCGCAACCCCAGCTAGAGGAAGTAAAGGGAATAAGTCCCGATATTACAAATACGGCGGAAATAAGTTCCCCGAAACCCGAGGGAATAAGTCCCCGGGAAGCCGAAGGAATACTTCCTTCGAGGCCTGAGGGAATAAGTCCCCAGGAAATGACAGAGACATTGAATGTCATAGTCAATGATGGATCAAGTGTAGGCGCTTATACACTTGATCTGATTGCGCCTCCGAAGTTGACTTCGGAGATCACTCAATTGCCAACGCTCGAACATAAAAGGTTCTTGCGTGATCTGCGTAGTGGCAAAGTCAAGCAGATCTGCGTACTCATCGCTGACGACGAGTGTGTAACCGACATAAGGTCAGCAACAGTGTTCACTGAGAACGAGAGAGTTCTCAGTAGTTCATCTATGGACGAGAGTGTCCTGGATGAAAAGACACGAGTTGAGCGATATGACTCCCAATCGTGGGAATCGCTCAAGACAAATCCTCTCTATGAAGATTTGGTTGAATTCAAGGATGTATTCCCTGAAACTGTTCCGTGCGAATTACCGAAGGATAAAGGTATTCGACACGAGGTCGAGCTTAAACCAGGCTCGAAGTACTGTGTCATGAAGCAGTGGCCACTGCCTCGTGAACAAGTACTTGCGATCGACAAGTTCTTTGCCAATCGTTTAGCTGCGGGCCATGTGAGGGAATCAACTTCCCCACATAGCTCTCCGACCTTCTATGTCCGAAAAGCAGCAGGAGGGTGGCGGAAAGTGCATACATTTAACAAGTTGAATGCTGCAACGGTACCGGATCAGACGCCGATACCAAGGAAGGACGTTATCATTGATGTTATGTCAAAGAGTACCATCTTTTCGTCCATGGATTTGATAGATGGCTTCTATCAAATCCTTATGCGAGAACGGGATATACCCTATACCGCAGTTAGCACGCCTAGCGGCATGCTCTGGGAATGGCTAGTAATGCCACAAGGGCTTGGTAATGCCCCTGCCACGTTCAACAGATGTGTATCACATCTGTTTAGACCAGTACGAGAATTCGCGCCGAGTTATTTCGATTATGAATTCATCCATAGTCGGGCTACGGATGGAAAGTTGGACGTAGAGGTTCACAGGTACCACGTCCGACAGGTTCTTACAATCATGCGAAAGCATCAATTGTATGCAAACCTCAAGAAGTGTACATTTGCAGCAAGCAAAATACCACTTCTTGGGTGCATCGTTGGTAAGAACGGTGTACGTCCTGATCCCGAAAAGATCAAGGCGATCACCGACTGGCCTGTGCCAGTCGACGTCAAAGGTCTTTGAAAATTCCTAGGGATAGCGGCGTATTTGCATAAGTATTCACGCAATTACGCCGAGATGACTGTACACCTCTCACGTTTGATGAAAAAGAACGAGAGGTGGTTATGGAACGCTGAATGTCAGCGCTCCTTTGATGGTATCAAGCAGAGCTTAATACAATCCCCATTCCTAGCAATAGCCGATCAGGACAGGCCATTTCATGTGGTCTGTGATGCGAGCGATTTCGCAATCGGCTGTGCATTAATGCAGTACGATCTTGAAGGCGTTGAACGCGTCGTCTGCTATCAGTCGCGTCAGCTGCAACCAGCTGAGCAGAACTACCCAGTGCATGACAAGGAACTCCTTGCCATGAAGTATGCACTCGCGAAGTTCAGAGTCTATCTATTAGAAGATAGACCCTTCATTGTTTACACTGACCATGCGTCGTTACGCACGGCAGTGAACAGCCCGCACCTTTCACAACGAATGGCGCGGTGGTTGTCATTCTTTGCAGAATACACTTCACGGTTGAGTACAAACCAGGACGACTTAGTGTCGTCGCTGATGCACTCTCACGTCGTCCCGACTTTGAAACAGTCGTGAAACCCAACAGTGAGGCAGTCACTGTTGCGGTTATGACGTCCTCAGTCCCATCTACAACGTTGTATGATGATGTGAGGCGGGCATACGCCCAACATGGTGAGATTGTGAAGTTGTTGACACATCTCTCTCACAATCATCTCGAGAATCGTTGAAACGATTATCGTCGGCGTATCGATCTGCATCAGATCGATACACTACTCGCGACGGTTTACTGTATTATACAGCCGTTACTGGTGACACACCACGTGTTGTCATTCCAGATGATACTGATCTGCGTTTGCGGATCATGTTCGAGTATCACGATGCTCCTATAGGAGGACATCGTGGCCGAGAGAAAACATATCTCACGGTGAGTCGAGACTTTTACTGGCCCCGCCAGTATCAGTTCGTGCGCAAGTACATTCGCGCATGCGAAGTCTGCCAACGAGTGAAGTCAAGTCCTTCACTGCGTGCACCTTTACAGCCTCTACCGGTTCTGGCAGAGTGCTGAAAATCCATCTCAATGGATTTTGTCTTCGGGTTGCCCAAGACGCACGCGGGAATACGGGTATTCTCGTTTTTGTTGACAGATTCAGAAAAATGGTACACCTTGTGGCTGAACCAGGGTCAATCACGGCAAGTGGCTGTGCTTGTGTCTTTTTTGACACCATCTTCCGACTTCATGGGTTGCCCTGTGAACTCGTATCAGACAGAGATCCACGATTCACTGCTGATTTCTGGCGTTCCGTGTTCAAATCACTCGGAACGCGCTTGAAGATGTCGACATCTGATCATCCAGAGTCAGATGGTCAGACGGAACGTGCCAATCGTGTCCTCGAAGAGATACTTCGAGGATACGTACACTCCTTTAAGAGTTGGAGTGAGTTTTTGCCAATGGTAGAGTTTGCCATCAACAACTCGGTGCATGCGTCCACGACACATACACCGTTTTACGTGAATGGCTTACGCCATCCGCTTGTACCCACCTTACTAGAGTGTGACTCTGGTTTAAGGGGAGGGGGGACCCGCGCGAGCAAAAACCGATTTGGTTCACGCTCATCACGCTCTGACGAAGAGGTCATTGCGTTTGATGCCGATATCGATAACATCGATATCGAAGAAGATAATGCCAGTGAGAGTGCGGAAGCCCTCACTGAAGAAAAGATTGTTGTCGCTGCAGTGCGCTCACAGCGCACTGAAGCTAACGAGTCATCAGATGAGTTCATACTGGCTCGTGAAACGGTAGCCCGTTTTGTGCAAGATTCCATCGCCGAGGCGGTGGATAGGCAAAAAGCAAAACGTTGACAAGAATGGAAGGGCAAACACTCTTTTATTCAATAAGGGTGACTTAGTCCTACTGTCTACGATTAATCTACCACGACATTTAGTGACTAACATGGGTAGCAGTAAACTACTACCCAAGTACATTGGCCCATTTCGTGTATTGCACCGCCTAGGCAATGCATACACGATCGAGTTACCACGTAAGATGCGAACGCATCCCACGTTTTACGTTGGTCGGTTTAAGCCGTGCCATCAGTACGCTGCTTCTTCCGATGAAGAACGCCCTTGCGCTCAAGCATCTCGCAGAGAGCCTTGTGCTCCCGATGGTGGGCATCGACAAGGGTCTGAAGAGCAGATATCTCATCCCGAGACCGATCAACAATCCCACAAGCTACCCGTAGCTCGTCACGAAGAGATGTCAGAGATCTCTCGTTCTCAAGCTGAGCAAAGGCAAACTCAGCTCGATGCTTCAAGACAGTGTCCGCCATTTGGAGACGCCTGTCCCGCTCATGTTCAAGATCGTTGCGTAACCCTTGCGTTACGCGATCAAAGAAGCTCTCGGGAACACACGGATCCCCATGATCGTGTGAAGAGCGTCTTCCCTCCTCCACCACCTCCATTAGAGGACTCTCGCGGTGGCCAGCGCTATCTAGTTGAGCAGCTGTTGAACCACCGCGACGTGAACGGACGTCGGACGAGTTATCTCGTCCGGTGGCGCGGCTATCCCCCGTCCTGGGATACGTGGGAGACCCGCTCCCAACTGATGGTTGACGTACTGGGTCTGGTCGAGCAGTACGACGCGGCACATCCTGTGCCGCAGAAGGACCGCCGGAGAAAGTCTTCCCGGCACGGTCGTAAAGGGATTTCAGGTTGTCAATCCCTTCGTACATCTCAGTAGAGATACGTACGCGCCACCACGGGCTAGTAAAGAGGTAAGCCTCCTTAGGTGCGCGCGCAGAGTTGTTCACACAACATGGGCACGAGTCTCCCCAAGAGAGGTAGGGTAACCCTTTCTCCCTAGAAAGACGATGCAGCTTGTAGCGTGCACCTGTCGGGGTTCTTTTCTCAAACTTATCACGAGCTTTGATAAGTTTGTCGTTACAAGCGTCACGACCTACATCCTCGAGGTTATGAATGTAGACGTTCCACGCTTGAAGCAGTGAGGGACCATCACGTTTGTGATTCCCACTGTACCACCGATGTTTGAAGAAAGCGTCGATGAAGATTTCATGTTCATCGCGATAGTCTTTCGCACTGGGGTCAAGGTGATGGATCCTTGACGAATCGAACAATCGTGTTCGATAACGATCACTCGTCGTCGCCGACAAGCGATCCATGACGGATTTTGGAGGCATGCATGCCTTCTTTTCAGGAGCAAGACGCAACACGTTGCGGTCCCGCTCTTCCTGCGACGTGCCGACAGAAGTACTGGCACCTCGCTGTGAAGTGGTGTCCATAGGAGAACCGACACCACTGTTAGCGCCCGAGTCTCGCGACCTCGAGCGCCTTCGCTACGGCGATGGTTCATCTGATTCTTCTGATGAACCAAAGATGCTACGACGCGTAGCATCATCCATGCCACGCTTGGCAGGCGGCTTGGTTTCGATCGCCTTTGATACAGATCCATCTTCAGTATCGGGAGAGTATGAGACACCGAGCTCATACTCTGTGAAGACATGAGTGTCTTCGTGACTAGCGCCTGCATCACCAGGTGTACAGGCTGAGTCGCTTCAGCAACCGATGACACATCGGCTGCAGCCGTTTCTGCTTCGGCGTCCGCACAGAGACGTGCGGACTCGCTCTCGGCGGCCTTGCTCGCGCATCGCATGGGCTTGTTAACCATGCGATTAACTGTTGGACAGTGGACTCGGACCAACAAGTGCAAACCCTGTCCCAAATGATTTGGGACGAGTATCCAGTTAATCAATCAGTCACTAAAGTGTCTGATGGTTAAGGAGGGATGTAACGGGGTGAATCGTTACATAACAATTTATAAGAAATTGTTAATAGAATATAACTATAAGAGTTATATTCTCAGAATATTGTCATAAGGACAAATATTCTGTAGCACTTACAAGTAGTTCCTACTTGGTTGATATAGGCTATTATATCAACCAACGAAGACGCGCCACGACAGACGCACGCAATGAGTGGTGAGCAGATAACTGATTTACACATTTGTATTTAGACATAGTTAGTTGAAGATAAACAGTGGTATATTAACAGACATTAACTATTATAAATACAGTTCTACTTTTTACTTTAACCAAGTACTCGCTTCTTCTTACCGTCTTCCTCGCACGTACGGGTGTACGTGAAGTTACGAGGCACCGCCTTATTCTGTCATCAGAATAAGTAGCTTGTACTGTCACCAGTACAAGCTTCAGGGTGCCCCGTTATAGTCGAGGCTTCGAAAAGTAGTCGTCACCAAATTACGTCGAAAGATGACGACCACGTGCTTGGTGCTGCGCTTGTCTACGTCCACGTACTTTTTACCCTCTTTCCCACCAAATGACGATGCCGTCTCGTCATGACGCAAAAAGACAACGAGAACTTCCTCGACGGCATCACACTGAGATGGCTTGACTGTGGCTACGTTGTCCAGGCCTTAGCGATCTCATGGAAGTGCTAACGCAGCAGAATGTGATCTTCCTGCTCAGGAGAAAAGCGTAGAGCCGTCTCTTCGTATGAACACTCTACCAAATGACCACGCTTTGTCACTTTGGCTGGATATGCCCGGTACGGCCGTGGCTGAGTGTAGTACAGGGGCTTCGTTTTTGGGTCATACACCAGAATGTCATCGCTGTTGAGGTACAGCACGCTAGCATTAGCAACGAGCCTTTCATCCTCCGCTTTTACGGGGTAGTAATGCGTAGCGGTGCCGCAGAGCACCGACTTGCCGGGACCAGCGTCGCGAAAGTCCCAACCCGCACCTCCGGTTCCAAAATCAGAAAACGCGTACTGCGTCTCAGCCAGCTCGGTGGCCACAAAAAACAGCTCCTTATCTCCGTAAGAAGGAGGCCGGTCGATGCGATTGCGCGCTACGAACGCTCCCAGGATTGCCGTTGCTCGTGGCTGCCGCTTCTTGTTCCATAGTACTAACGACGAGTCCATCTCGTAGCCTGAGCGGTAGTTCCACGAATGACTCGTCAACAGGTGCTCGCTCGGTGAGAAATGTAGTGTAACAGGCACCTTGTTCTTGCTTGTTGCGTTCGGTCGTTCAATGCGACCCAACAGCTCAAACGGCGACACATCGAAACGTGACATGAAGTCATGTATTTGTCTCACACCGTCATTGTGACGATGGAGGGGTTTACCCATCAACATTTTTCCGCAAGCAAAACGATCGTAAAAGGATAGCGTGCCTGTACTCTGGAACTTGTCCGTATCCCAGAGCGACATGGGGCTCTTGAAAAACAATGTGTCGGCATCCAGCAGCATAACCTCTTCAAACCGCGATAAAATCACAGCCAGTAGCTTCACGTCAAAGCTTCGAAATAACTCATAGCAGTTGCCCAGACTCTCACAAAAGACCTTCACTGACGCATCCCGCAAACTGACGGTCTTTGACGCGAGTTCACATACGTCATAGAAGTGCGGCACACCCATTTCTTTTTTTTCAGAACTGTGCGGATCGTCGAGTCTTTCAGATCTTCACAATGCGGTATTTCGATTGGCAAATGCACATCCATCGCTCGTAGCTCCAAGATCAAAGACACGCCCAGCGTTGTAATGTTGTCAAACAATGGCAACACAATACCACGCGGTTCAATAGTCCGCTGCGCCATCTCGTAGATTGTGTAGACGAGCTGCTCCTCCATGCACTTCACGTCGTCAGCCAAGAACGAGCTGTCCCTATTGTCAGGAGGTGGCGGTCTGTAGCTACTATCTTGGACCTCTCCCTCCCATTTATGCTCGCTCGTGCTACGATTTGTAGTCTGATCGGTATTTACATTGGCCGTCATTGCGAACATCCCGACGCCGCACAGCACTAGCACAAGCAGACAATACCGCAAGAATGAAGGGCGCAGAACTTGCTTAACATTGAGGCGAGAGTAGCGGTCTCTTTGAGCAACCTGCTGGAGCTCTGGTGGTTTCGGAGAAAGCGTCGGCTGCTCCATCGCTGACTCTTTTCCCTTGTCGCTTTGGTCAGTGAAGGTGGCGGTATCGTCTTATTCGGGCCACAGCGAGGGGAGGCAGTGCGTGTTTGGTCGCAGGAGTATTTTTCTACTGGATAATAGGGGCAAAAAAGCACGACACGAGTACTTAATAAATACACCGATACATGTGGCCCATCTGATCCCTGAGAAACATGATAGTTTGCGGTGCACATCAAGGCATCAATCCACCGATTCCGTATCTATAGTGGAATTTATAGATGGACCTCACCTTTTTGCTACATGTGCCTCACCTTTGTTATGTGTGTCTCCCGCATGCTTTTAATCGTCGTTTGACTGGAGTTTTGTATTCGGACAGACCCCCTGAGCCATAAATAATACACTACAGTGGTCCAAAGCTACACACGGCATACTCTTTTGTGCATGAACCTCACGTTTGCGCGGCCGTCTCCGCCATCTTCTGCCTCTTGGTGGGGAAGGTGCGTTGATTGTGTTCTTCCTGCTCACACTCTCCGCATCGACACTTCCGCTGAATCTCACTGTAACAGGGCACCCTGAAGCTTGTACTGGTGACAGTACAAGCTACTTATTCTGATGACAGAATAAGGTGGTGCCTCGTAACTTCACGTACACTCGTACGTGCAGAGAAAGACGGTAAGAAGAAGCGAGTACTTGGTTAAAGTAAAAAGTAGAACTGTATTTATAATAGTTAATGTCTGCAATAAATCACTATTTATCCTCATCTAACTATGTCTAAATACAAATGTGTAAATCAGTTATCTGCTCACCACTCATTGCTTGCGTCTGTCGTGGCGCGTCTTCGTTGGTTGATATAATGGCCTATATCAACCAAGTAGGAACTACTCGTAAGTGCTACAGAATATTTGTACTTATGACAATATTCTGAGAATATAACTCTTATAGTTATATTCTATAAACAATTTCTTATAAATTGTTATGTAACGATTCACCCCGTTACACCCCCTCCCTTAACCATCAGTCACTTTAGTGACTGATTGACTAGATGGATACTCGTCCCAAATAATTTGGGACAGGGTTTGCACTTGTAGGTCCGAGTCCACTTTCCAACATTTCATCGCATGGTTAACAAGCCCATGCGATGCGCGAGCAAGGCCGCCGAGAGCGCGTCCGCACGTCTCTGTGCGGACGCCGAAGCAGAAACCACAGCAACTGATGTCTCATCGGTTGCTGAAGCGACTCAGCCTGTACACCTGGTGATGCAGGCGCTAGTCACGAAGACACTCATGTCTTCACAGAGTATGAGCTCGGTGTCTCATACTCTCCCGATACTGAAGATGGATCTGTATCAAAGGCGATCGAAACCAAGCCGCCTGCCAAGCGTGGCATGGATGATGCTACGCGTCGTAGCATCTTTGGTTCATCAGAAGAATCAGATGAACCATCGCCGTAGCGAAGGCGCTCGAGGTCGCGAGACTCGGGCGCTAACAGTGGTGTCGGTTCTCCTATGGACACCACTTCACAGCGAGGTGCCAGTACTTCTGTCGGCACGTCGCAGGAAGAGCGGGACCGCAACGTGTTGCGTCTCGCTCCCGAGAAGAAGGCATGGATGCCTCCAAAATCCGTCATGGATCGCTTGTCGGCGACGACGAGTGATCGTTATCGAACACGATTGTTCGATTCGTCAAGGATCCATCACCTTGACCCCAGTGCGAAAGACTATCGCGATGAACATGAAATCTTCATCGACGCTTTCTTCAAACATCGATGGTACAGTGGGAATCACAAACGTGATGGTCCCTCACTGCTTCAAGCGTGGAACGTCTACATTCATAACCTTGAGGATGTAGGTCGTGACGCTTGTAACGACAAACTTATCAAAGCTCGTGATAAGTTTGAGAAAAGAACCCCGACAGGTGTGCGCTACAAGATGCATCGTCTGTCTAGGGAGAAAGGGTTACCCTGCCTCTCTTGGGGAGACTCGTGCCCATGTTGTGTGAACAACTCTGCACGAGCACCTAAGGGGGCTTACCTCCCTTATAGCCCATGGTGGTGCGTACGTATCTCTAGTGAGATGTACGAAGGGATTGACAACCTGAAATCCCTTTACGACCGTGCCGGGAAGACTTTCTCCGGCGGTCCTTCTGCGGCACAGGACGTGCCGCGTCGTACTGCTCAACCAGACCCAGTACGTCGATCATCAGTTGGGAGCGGGGCTCCCACGTATCCCAGGACGGGGGATAGCCGCGCCACCGGACGAGATAACTCGTCCGACGTCCGTTCACGTCGCGGTCGCTCAACAGCTGCTCAACTAGATAGCGCTAGCCACCGCGAGAGTCCTCTAAGGAAGGTGGAGGAGGAGGAAAGACGCTCTCCACACGATCGTGAGGAAGCATGTGTTCCCGAGAGCTTCTTTGATCGCGTAACGCAAGGGTTACGCAGCGATCTCGAACATGAGCGGGACAGACGTCTCCAACTGGCGGAAACTGTCTCGAAGCATCGAGCTGAGTTTGCCTTTGCTCAGCTTGAGAACAAGAGATCTCTGACGTCTCTGCGTGACGAGCTAAGGGTAGCTCTCGGGAATGTCGATCGGTCTCGGGATGAGATAACTGCTCTTCAGACCCTTGTCGATGCCCACCATCGGGAGCACAAGGCTCTCTGCGAGATGCTTGAGCGCAAGGGCGTTCTTCATCGGAAGAAGCAGCGTACTGATGGCACGGCTTAAACCGACCAACGTAAAACGTGGGATGCGTTCGCATCTTACGTGGTAACTCGATCGTGTATGCATTGCCTAGGCGGTGCAATACACGAAATGGGCCAATGTACTTGGGTAGTAGTTTACTGCTACCCATGTTAGTCACTAAATGTCGTGGTAGATTAATCGTAGACAGTAGGACTAAGTCACCCTTATTGAATAAAAGAGTGTTTGCCCTTCCATTCTTGTCAACGTTTTGCTTTTGCCTATCCACCGCCTCGGCGATGGAATCTTGCACAAAACGGGCTACCGTTTCACGAGCCAGTATGAACTCATCTGATGACTCGTTAGCTTCAGTGCGCTGTGAGCGCACTGCAGCGACAACAATCTTTTCTTCAGTGAGGGCTTCCGCACTCTCACTGGCATTATCTTCTTCGATATCGATGTTATCGATATCGGCATCAAACGCAATGACCTCTTCGTCAGAGCGTGATGAGCGTGAACCAAATCGGTTTTTGCTCGCGCGGGTCCCTCCCCCCCTTAAACCAGAGTCACACTCTAGTAAGGTGGGTACAAGCGGATGGCGTAAGCCATTCACGTAAAACGGTGTATGTGTCGTGGACGCATGCACCGAGTTGTTGATGGCAAACTCTACCATTGGCAAAAACTCACTCCAACTCTTAAAGGAGTGTACGTATCCTCGAAGTATCTCTTCGAGGACACGATTGGCACGTTCCGTCTGACCATCTGACTCTGGATGATCAGATGTCGACATCTTCAAGCGCGTTCCGAGTGATTTGAACACGGAACGCCAGAAATCAGCAGTGAATCGTGGATCTCTGTCTGATACGAGTTCACGGGGCAACCCATGAAGTCGGAAGATGGTGTCAAAAAAGACACAAGCACAGCCACTTGCCGTGATTGACCCTGGTTCAGCCACAAGGTGTACCATTTTGCTGAATCTGTCAACAAAAACGAGAATACCCGTATTCCCGCGTGCGTCTTGGGCAACCCGAAGACAAAATCCATTGAGATGGATTTTCAGCACTCTGCCGTAACTGGTAGAGGCTGTAAAGGTGCACGCAGTGAAGGACTTGACTTCACTCGTTGGCAGACTTCGCATGCGCGAATGTACTTGCGCACGAACTGATACTGGCGGGGCCAGTAAAAGTCTCGACTCACCGTGAGATATGTTTTCTCTCGGCCACGATGTCCTCCTATAGGAGCATCGTGATACTCGAACATGATCCGCAAACGCAGATCAGTATCATCTGGAATGACAACACGTGGTGTGTCACCAGAAACGGCTGTATAATACAGTAAACCGTCGCGAGTTGTGTATCGATCTGATGCAGATTGATACGCCGACGATAATCGTTTCAACGATTCTCGAGATGATTGTGAGAGAGATGTGTCAACAACTTCACAATCTCACCATGTTGGGCGTATGCCCGCCTCACATCATCATACAACGTTGTAGATGGGACTGAGGACGTCATAACCGCAACAGTGACTGCCTCACTGTTGGGTTTCACGACTGTTTCAAAGTCGGGACGACGTGAGAGTGCATCAGCGACGACACTAAGTCGTCCTGGTTTGTACTCAACCGTGAAGTTGTATTCTGCAAAGAATGACAACCACCGCGCCATTCGTTGTGAAAGGTGCGGGCTGTTCACTGCCGTGCGTAATGACGCATGGTCAGTGTAAACAATGAAGGGTCTATCTTCTAATAGATAGACTCTGAACTTCGCGAGTGCATACTTCATGGCAAGGAGTTCCTTGTCATGCACTGGATAGTTCCGCTCAGCTGGTTGCAGCTGACGCGACTGATAGCAGACGACGCGTTCAACGCCTTCAAGATCGTACTGCATTAATGCACAGCCGATTGCGAAATCGCTCGCATCACAGACCACATGAAATGGCCTGTCCTGATCGGCTATTGCTAGGACTGGGGTTTGTATCAAGCTCTGCTCCATACCATCAAAGGAGCGATGACATTCAGCGTTCCATAACCACCTCTCGTTCTTTTCAACAAACGAGAGAGGTGTACAGTCATCTCGGTGTAATTGCGTGAATACTTATGCAAATACGCCGCTATCCCTAGGAATTTTCAAAGACCTTTGACGTCGACTGGCACAGGCCACTCGGTGATCGCCTTGATCTTTTCGGGATCAGGACGTACACCGTTCTTACCAACGATGCACCCAAGAAGTGGTATTTTGCTTGCTGCAAATGTACACTTCTTGAGGTTTGCATACAATTGATGCTTTCGCATGATTGTAAGAACCTGTCGGACGTGGTACCTGTGAACCTCTACGTCCAACTTTCCATCCGTAGCTCGACTATGGATGAATTCATAATCGAAATAACTCGGCGCGAATTCTCGTACTGGTCTAAACAGATGTGATACACATCTGTTGAACGTGGCAGGGGCATTACCAAGCCCTTGTGGCATTACTAACCGTTCCCAGAGTATGCCGCTAGGCGTGCTAACTGCGGTATAGGGTATATCCCGTTCTCGCATAAGGATTTGATAGAAGCCATCTATCAAATCCATGGACGAAAAGATGGTACTCTTTGACATAACATCAATGATAACGTCCTTCCTTGGTATCGGCGTCTGATCCGGTACCGTTGCAGCATTCAACTTGTTAAATGCGTGCACTATCCGCCACCCTCCTGTTGCTTTTCGCACACAGAAGGTCGGAGAGCTATGTGGGGAAGTTGATTCCATCACATGGCCCGCAGCTAAACGATCGGCAAAGAACTTGTCGATCGCAAGTACTTGTTCACGAGGCAGTGGCCACTGCTCCATGACACAGTACTTCGAGCCTGGTTTAAGCTCGACCTCGTGTCGAATACCTTTATCCTTCGGTAATTCGCACGGAACAGTTTCAGGGAATACATCCTTGAATTCAACCAAATCTTCATAGAGAGGATTTGTCTTGAGCGATTCCCACGATTGGGAGTCATATTGCTCAACTCGTGTCTTTTCATCCAGGACACTCTCGTCCATAGATGAACTACTGAGAACTCTCTCGTTCTCAGTGAACACTGTTGCTGACCTTATGTCGGTTACACACTCGTCTTCAGCGATGAATACGCAGATCTGCTTGACTTTGCCACTACGCAGATCACGCAAGAACCTTTTATGTTCGAGCGTTGGCAATTGAGTGATCTCCGAAGTCAACTTCGGAGGCGCAATCAGATCAAGTGTATAAGCGCCTACACTTGATACATCATTGACAATGACATTCAATGTCTCTGTCATTTCCTGGGGACTTATTCCCTCAGGCCTCGAAGGAAGTATTCCTTCGGCTTCCCGGGGACTTATTCCCTCGGGTTTCGGGGAACTTATTTCCGCCGTATTTGTAATATCGGGACTTATTCCCTTTACTTCCTCTAGCTGGGGTTGCGCAACCACAGCCAGATCCTCTACGAAAGACTCTCCAGTCGATATAGGATTATCGTTTCGCTTAACCTGAGCGATCGATTGTTTCTCTTCTAGATGTTCCCCGCTAGGGATACATCTTTGTCCCGGTCCATTCGACTTATTCGAGTGGTGGACCTTGGGCGCAGCCTGTGTTTCCTCACAGCCGCCGGAACTTTGCTCCCAAGTGTAACCGTTTGTTACACTAAGGTTTTGTGCAGTCGTACTAACGACCGTACCACAAGTGAGGCCATCGCACTCACTCGTAGTACATCCACACGCTTGTGGACACTCCAAAACGTTCATTAGATGGCCATCTGATGAAAAAGCGGCAGGCATCGTTACTTTTCGATGTTGCCAGTTTACCCGTGGTTCGTACCTTCTGAGCCACGGTATTCCAAGGATGACATCAAATTTGTCATCCAAATCCAATACGATAAAGTCATCGTCATATTGGGTATCTTCTAGCGTATAGTGGATCTTCACTATACGCTTCGTGACGGTTACGGATGCGCCTGTCGCAAGACGTACCGTCATACTCATAGGAGGTGTGTCACATTCACTGAACTTAAAGTGACCATCTTCTAGCGATTGGCGACGCACAAAATTGTTGGACGCCCCACAATCGACTAGAGCTCGAAGGGACAACTTATTTGTCACTTCGAGTTTCAAGGTAATGAGTGGGACCTCATTACCTAGAGCGGAAACGCACAATGTTTGTGTGTTGGGAGCAAACTTCATCAAGAAGCCTACAAATTCTCTTGACGTTGCTGGATCAGTAGAGTGCTCCGCACCTACTGATCCTGTCCGTTTTTTGACGGTCCATCCCGTTGTTGCGTCTTTGCACCAACAGCGGATCCTCGTCCCTGCCCCTTTCTCATGGGTGGACGGTCACTACGCCCAGTGTCGCGAGACACTGGACGAGGGGCAATACACTCGTAAGCGTAGTGTCCTGTCTTCTGACATCTGTTGCATCTCTGCAACTTCTTGTAGTCTGTAGAGCGAGCCTTCTCGCTCTCTACATAACAGAGTTCCATCGGCTCTGGACCTCCGCTGTCATATCGTCTCGGTTGACGATATGATGTCGAGCTGGCGCGAGCCTGTCTCAGACTGAATTCTTCCTGCTCCGCAATGGAAATGGCTTGTTCTAGTGAATCTAGTTCAAGCCGGAACAGGTGAGTCTTGACGGGACCATCCGCAAGACCCTGCATGAACACCGAAACCAACGTGTGTTCATCCACCGGATTGGAACTTATACAACTCGTGGGATGTCGTATATGTTGTGCGTAAGCGTGCACATCACGCTTACCTTGTTTGATCTTCAAAAGTTCGGTTCGAGCTCTGAACTCAGCTCTAGGCGGTTCAAACGTTTGTCTGAGCCGCGACTTGAAGACTTCTAACGACCCAAACGCATATGGGTCGTGCAACTTGAGCCCCAGTGCCCAAGTCTTGGCACGTCCTGCCAGATTTGATTGGGCAAATGCAACTTGCATGTCCCCGTCGTCGATGCGACGCGCCCTTATGGCGTCATCCAATTCGACGAACCATCTCAAGAGGGAGTCCTCTTCGACTCCCCTATACTTGGAGATGTCAATCTTTAAGGTCTCGGGTCGACGCGAGTGCATCGACCCACCAGCAGCAGCCTGCTGCTGTCTCAACAGTTCAAACTGTTGAGCACCCTGTTCTCTCAACAACTCTGATTGTTGAGAACCTTGTTGGTGAAGCAAGGCTACTTTCTCGCGTTCAACGTCAAGTTCATTTTGAATGAACTTGGCGATAGTAGCATGTTGGGCATCTCTATTGAGAGCCTCTAGCATGACGCTAACAGCATGGATGCCCATGGTCGAACCCATTCGTTCAACCGCATCCCATTCGACATCGCTCAAATGGGAGTAGCCGTCACGCGTAGCGTGAAAGCTTTGGTCATCTTCATCATCCAACATATTCATGTTGGATGTGAACTTGGTCCTTGGACGGACTACGAAGTGCTACCAGGTGTAAAAGGGCACCCTGAAGCTTGTACTGGTTACAGTACAAGCTACTTATTCTGATGACAGAATAAGGTGGTGCCTCGTAACTTCACGTACACTCGTACGTGCGAGGAAGACGGTAAGAAGAAGCGAGTACTTGGTTAAAGTAAAAAGTAGAACTGTATTTATAATAGTTAATGTCTGTTAATATACCACTGTTTATCTTCAACTAACTATGTCTAAATACAAATGTGTAAATCAGTTATCTGCTCACCACTCATTGCGTGCGTCTGTCGTGGCGCGTCTTCGTTGGTTGATATAATAGCCTATATCAACCAAGTAGGAACTACTCGTAAGTGCTACAGAACATTTGTCCTTATGACAATATTCTGAGAATATAACTCTTATAGTTATATTCTATTAACAATTTCTTATAAATTGTTATGTAACGATTCACCCCGTTACATCACCCCCTTAACCATCAGACACTTTAGTGACTGATTGATTAACTGGATACTCGTCCCAAATCATTTGGGACAGGGTTTGCACTTGTTGGTCCGAGTCCACTGTCCAACAGTTAATCGCATGGTTAACAAGCCCATGCGATGCGCGAGCAAGGCCGCCGAGAGCGCGTCCGCACGTCTCTGTGCGGACGCCGAAGCAGAAACCACAGCAACTGATGTTTCATTGGTTGCTGAAGCGACTCAGCCTGTACACCTGGTGATGCAGGCGCTAGTCACGAAGACACTCATGTCTTCACAGAGTATGAGCTCGGTGTCTCATACTCTCCCGATACTGAAGATGGATCTGTATCAAAGGCGATCGAAACCAAGCCGCCTGCCAAGCGTGGCATGGATGATGCTACGCGTCGTAGCATCTTTGGTTCATCAGAAGAATCAGATGAACCATCGCCGAAGCGAAGGCGCTCGAGGTCGCGAGACTCGGGCGCTCACAGTGGTGTCATTTCTCCTATTGACACCACTTCGCAGCGAGGTGCCAGTACTTCTGTCGGCACGTCGCAAGAAGAGCGGGACCGCAACGTGTTGCGTCTCGCTCCGAGAAGAAGACATGGATGCCTCCAAAATCCGTCATGGATCGCTTGTCGGCGACGACGAGTGATCGTTATCGAACACGATTGTTCGATTCGTCAAGGATCCATCACCTTGACCCCAGTGTGAAAGACTATCGCGATGAACATGAAATCTTCATCGACGCTTTCTTCAAACATCGATGGTACAGTGGGAATCACAAACGTGATGGTCCCTCATTGCTTCAAGCGTGGAACGTCTACATTCATAACCTTGAGGATGTAGGTCGTGACGCTTGTAACGACAAACTTATCAAAGCTCGTGATAAGTTTGAGAAAAGAACCCCGACAGGTGCACGCTACAAGCTGCATCGTCTTTCTAGGGAGAAAGGGTTACCCTGCCTCTCTTGGGGAGACTCGTGCCCATGTTGTGTGAACAACTCTGCACGAGCACCTAAGGAGGCTTACCTCTTTACTAGCCCGTGGTGGTGCGTACGTATCTCTAGTGCGATGTACGAAGGGATTGAAAACCTGAAATCCCTTTACGACCGTGCCAGGAAGACTTTCTCAGGCGGTCCTTCTGCGGCACAGGATGTGCCGCGTCGTACTGCTCGACCAGACCCAGTACGTCAACCATCAGTTGGGAGCGGGTCTCCCACGTATCCCAGGACGGGGGATAGCCGCGCCACCGGACGAGATAACTCGTCCGACGTCCGTTCACGTCGCGGTCGCTCAACAGCTGCTCAACTAGATAGCGCTAGCCACCGCGAGAGTCCTCTAAGGAAGGTGGAGGAGGAGGAAAGACGCTCTCCACACGATCGTGGGGAAGCATGTGTTCCCGAGAGCTTCTTTGATCGCGTAACGCAAGGGTTACGCAGCGATATCGAACATGAGCGGGACAGGTGTCTCCAAATGGCGGAAACTGTCTCGAAGCATCGAGCTGAGTTTGCCTTTGCTCAGCTTGAGAACAAGAGATCTCTGACGTCTCTGCGTGACGAGCTAAGGGTAGCTCTCGGGAATGTCGATCGGTCTCGGGATGAGATAACTGCTCTTCAGACCCTTGTCGATGCCCACCATCGGGAGCACAAGGCTCTCTGCGAGATGCTTGAGCGCAAGGGCGTTCTTCATCGGAAGAAGCAGCGTACTGATGGTACGGCTTAAGCCGACCAACGTAAAACGTGGGATGCGTTCGCATCTTACGTGGTAACTCGATCGTGTATGCATTGCCTAGGCGGTGCAATACACGAAATGGGCCAATGTACTTGGGTAGTAGTTTACTGCTACCCATGTTAGTCACTAAATGTCGTGGTAGATTAATCGTAGACAGTAGGACTAAGTCACCCTTATTGAATAAAAGAGTGTTTGCCCTTCCATTCTTGTCAACGTTTTGCTTTTGCCTATCCACCGCCTCGGCGATGGAATCTTGCACAAAACGGGCTACCGTTTCACGAGCCAGTATGAACTCATCTGATGACTCGTTAGCTTCAGTGCGCTGTGAGCGCACTGCAGCGACAACAATCTTTTCTTCAGTGAGGGCTTCCGCACTCTCACTGGCATTATCTTCTTCGATATCGATGTCATCGATATCGGCATCAAACGCAATGACCTCTTCGTCAGAGCGTGATGAGCGTGAACCAAATCGGTTTTTGCTCGCGCGGGTCCCTCCCCCCCTTAAACCAGAGTCACACTCTAGTAAGGTGGGTACAAGCGGATGGCGTAAGCCATTCACGTAAAACGGTGTATGTGTCGTGGACGCATGCACCGAGTTGTTGATGGCAAACTCTACCATTGGCAAAAACTCACTCCAACTCTTAAAGGAGTGTACGTATTCTCGAAGTATCTCTTTGAGGACACGATTGGCACGTTCCGTCTGACCATCTGACTCTGGATGATCAGATGTCGACATCTTCAAGCGCGTTCCGAGTGATTCGAACACGGAACGCCAGAAAATAGTTGTGAATCGTGGATCTCTGTCTGATACGAGTTCACGGGGCAACCCATGAAGTCGGAAGATGGTGTCAAAAAAGACACAAGCACAGCCACTTGCCGTGATTGACCCTGGTTCAGCCACAAGGTGTACCATTTTGCTGAATCTGTCAACAAAAACGAGAATACCCGTATTCCCGCGTGCGTCTTGGGTAACCCGAAGACAAAATCCATTGAGATGGATTTTCAGCACTCTGCCGTAACTGGTAGAGGCTGTAAAGGTACACGCAGTGAAGGTCTTGACTTCACTCGTTGACAGACTTCGCATGCGCGAATGTACTTGCGCACAAACTGATACTGGCGGGGCCAGTAAAAGTCTCGACTCACCGTGAGATATGTTTTCTCCCGGCCACGATGTCCTCCTATAGGAGCATCGTGATACTCGAACATGATCCGCAAACGCAGATCAGTATCATCTGGAATGACAACACGTGGTGTTTCACCAGAAACGGCTGTATAATACAGTAAACTGTTGCGAGTAGTGTATCGATCTGATGCAGATCGATACGCAGACGACAATCGTTTCAACGATTCTCGAGATGGCTGTGAGAGATGTGTCAACAACTTCACAATCTCACCATCTTGGGCATATGCCCGCCTCACATCATCATGCAACGTTGTAGATGGGACTGAGGACGTCATAACCACAACAGTGACTGCCTCACTGTTGGGTTTCACGACTGTTTCAAAGTCGGGACGACGTGAGAGTGCATCAGCGACGACACTAAGTCGTCCTGGTTTGTACTCAACCGTGAAGTTGTATTCTGCAAAGAATGACAACCACCGCGCCATTCGTTGTGAAAGGTGCGGGCTGTTCACTGCCGTGCGTAATGACGCATGGTCAGTGTAAACAATGAAGGGTCTATCTTCTAATAGATAGACTCTGAACTTCGCGAGTGCATACTTCATGGCAAGGAGTTCCTTGTCATGCACTGGATAGTTCCGCTCAGCTGGTTGCAGCTGACGCGACTGATAGCAGACGACGCGTTCAACGCCTTCAAGATCGTACTGCATTAATGCACAGCCGATTGCGAAATCGCTCGCATCACAGACCACATGAAATGGCCTGTCCTGATCGGCTATTGCTAGGACTGGGGTTTGTATCAAGCTCTGCTCCATACCATCAAAGGAGCGATGACATTCAGCGTTCCATAACCACCTCTCGTTCTTTTCAACAAACGAGAGAGGTGTACAGTCATCTCGGTGTAATTGCGTGAATACTTATGCAAATACGCCGCTATCCCTAGGAATTTTCAAAGACCTTTGACGTCGACTGGCACAGGCCACTCGGTGATCGCCTTGATCTTTTCGGGATCAGGACGTACACCGTTCTTACCAACGATGCACCCAAGAAGTGGTATTTTGCTTGCTGCAAATGTACACTTCTTGAGGTTTGCATACAATTGATGCTTTCGCATGATTGTAAGAACCTGTCGGACGTGGTACCTGTGAACCTCTACGTCCAACTTTCCATCCGTAGCTCGACTATGGATGAATTCATAATCGAAATAACTCGGCGCGAATTCTCGCACTGGTCTCAACAGATGTGATACACATCTGTTGAACGTGGCAGGGGCATTACCAAGCCCTTGTGGCATTACTAACCGTTCCCAGAGTATGCCGCTAGGCGTGCTAACTGCGGTATAGGGTATATCCCGTTCTCGCATAAGGATTTGATAGAAGCCATCTATCAAATCCATGGACGAAAAGATGGTACTCTTTGACATAACATCAATGATAACGTCCTTCCTTGGTATCGGCGTCTGATCCGGTACCGTTGCAGCATTCAACTTGTTAAATGCGTGCACTATCCGCCACCCTCCTGTTGCTTTTCGCACACAGAAGGTCGGAGAGCTATGTGGGGAAGTTGATTCCATCACATGGCCCGCAGCTAAACGATCGGCAAAGAACTTGTCGATCGCAAGTACTTGTTCACGAGGCAGTGGCCACTGCTCCATGACACAGTACTTCGAGCCTGGTTTAAGCTCGACCTCGTGTCGAATACCTTTATCCTTCGGTAATTCGCACGGAACAGTTTCAGGGAATACATCCTTGAATTCAACCAAATCTTCATAGAGAGGATTTGTCTTGAGCGATTCCCACGATTGGGAGTCATATTGCTCAACTCGTGTCTTTTCATCCAGGACACTCTCGTCCATAGATGAACTACTGAGAACTCTCTCGTTCTCAGTGAACACTGTTGCTGACCTTATGTCGGTTACACACTCGTCTTCAGCGATGAATACGCAGATCTGCTTGACTTTGCCACTACGCAGATCACGCAAGAACCTTTTATGTTCGAGCGTTGGCAATTGAGTGATCTCCGAAGTCAACTTCGGAGGCGCAATCAAATCAAGTGTAAAAGCGCCTACACTTGATCCGTCATTGACTATGACACTCAATGTCTCTGTCATTTCCTGGGGACTTATTCCCTCAGGCTTCGAAGGACTTATTCCTTCGTCTTCCCGGGGACTTATTCCCGCGGGTTTCGGGGAACTTATTTCCGCCGTATTTGTAATATCGGGACTTATTCCCTTTACTTCCTCTAGCTGGGGTTGCGCAACCACAGCCAGATCCTCTACGAAAGACTCTCCAGTCGATATAGGATTATCGTTTCGCTTAACCTGAGCGATCGATTGTTTCTCTTCTAGATGTTCCCCGCTAGGGATACATCTTTGTCCCGGTCCATTCGACTTATTCGAGTGGTGGACCTTGGGCGCAGCCTGTGTTTCCTCACAGCCGCCGGAACTTTGCTCCGAAGTGTAACCGTTTGTCACACTAAGGTTTTGTGCAGTCGTACTAACGACCGTACCACAAGTGAGGCCATCGCACTCACTCGTAGTACATCCACACGCTTGTGGACACTCCAAAACGTTCATTAGATGGCCATCTGATGAAAAAGCGGCAGGCATCGTTACTTTTCGATGTTGCCAGTTTACCCGTGGTTCGTACCTTCTGAGCCACGGTATTCCAAGGATGACATCAAATTTGTCATCCAAATCCAATACGATAAAGTCATCGTCATATTGGGTATCTTCTAGCGTATAGTGGATCTTCACTATACGCTTCGTGACGGTTACGGATGCGCCTGTCGCAAGACGTACCG